CCGACATCTGTGTATTTCGAAGAAGACCCATTTTGCTTTTAACTTATATACAATGCATGTACCTAACAGAATATAAATGCAAATTTCAATTAAAGTAAGGACTCGTTGAACAAGTACCCCCTCAATTGTGCAAATTGAGAGGACCACTGAAGGACCACTGTGCGCCATGTTGCCTCATTCACGCTGGTATTATGTAGATTACATACACATGGAACAGCACATGGCTACCAGTGAGGTGTCCTCCACATTCTCTCAGCGCCATCTTTTGTCGACACATCATTTCATAGTTTTCTGTTCTAACTTTAAGAGGCCTATGCTGCAAATTATGGTATCTACGTTAACCTACTTTACAAACAGTAAAAGCATTATGTATAAAAACTGAAAGCATTTGTATAAAAAAAGAGAAAATGAAAGAATTATTTCATCGAGTGGAGAAAGTTAGCAATTTAGGTTGGCAAAATCCAATTCATGAGACTTGGAATTATTTCAAGCAAAAACTTATTAAATAAACTAGATAATATGCGATCACACTGACAAGGCCAATTGATGTAATTCGTAAACGGCCTTAATTCCCCTTTACTATTTGGGTAGTGGGAGAAAGCTTTGCTAAAATGCAAAACAACTTTTGGCGAAAAAAAATGTGGTTTACGGTAAAGCCAAAACAAAAAAGGCACAGATCAAAGGTTTACCATATTTGAGGAGCGTTCACTTAGCCATCGTCAGCCCACAGTAAAAACCATACCTCATGCTAACACACGTGTTTCCTGTATAATTATATGACAAGAATCATTTGGGTCATTAAGTCTCCTACTGTTTAAATAGTCACAAACAGTCAAAAATTCCATCCACTTCCACTGCCATGCCTTTTACACAGGCTAGTCACAAACAGTCGGGTCAAATTTCAAGCAAGCACTCTGACTAGTCAAATTCAGTCAATACACAAAAGCACGAAACTGTGGGCACAGCTGTCTTATCAATCACCTACAATCAAAGCATAGCTGTATCAAGTTACATAAACAGTCACAGCCAGTCAATCCTGCTTCATGTAGGCTGGGAGCTCTTAACTGTTGAAAAGTCACTTGATCAATTTTGACTGAAATAACAACTTGGCTGGCACAGAATGTATGTTTGCATAAGAGGGCTATTCCCAGTCATCTAACCAAGTTATTTTCATGTAACATACAATACTGTAAATTTAAGTACTAACCAAAGCAATTGTCATATTAAAAATAACAATAAATAGCATGCTGGTATCTGTGCTACAACTGATAATGTAGTAACCAACAGATAACGTATCACCAACCAATAATGTAACAACAATTGACCGATACTGTATAATTAACCGATAATGTAACAACACAAATACCGATAGTGTAGTAGAATGTACTAAACTATCAGTCAATTTTTGTTACATTATCAGCCCTAACTAATAATGTAACAAATATTGACTGACGGTGTAGTAACATTTACTACACTATCATTCATTTTTAGTTACACTATCGGTTAGTGATACAGTATCGGTCAATTGTTGTCACGTTACCGGTTGGTGATACGTTATCCCTTGGTTATTACATAATCAGTTGTAACAATCTTGCACCATTCAAGTTTCGAAGGAAGATCACAACGTACGGTGAAATGACACAAACTCCACGTGAACTTTAGTCACAGGCGAAATCATTGTGCTGGCTATTGTACAGATAATCCTTCATTGGGAAGTAGCTTTGCACAGTGCTTTCGCCATTGAAGGGGCCTCGTGTGGGTACAGTGATTACGTGCCGGGAAATGTCTATAAATTATCCAGTCCCGCGTCACCTGAAAGCTTTTCACATGAATTTGTCATAAAGACATCCCCTTTGTTACTGTTCGTCAACTGTCTCTTGTGAGATGGAATTGTGCATTGGCATTTGATGGACTCGTAATAGACCTTAAGCAAAGCAGGAGCGGCCATCATAGAGGGCATCTTTTGTTAGTTTAATTCAGTAACAGTGAATACACAAAGGGTTCACTCATGCATATCCCAGCAAAACATAGACATTGCCCTTTAAGATGGCTGCTACGCATAAGGTCTATAGACTGGATTATAACTCGGCAAGGTAGAAGTGAAATTTATACCCAATGTGAACTAACGTAGGCTCAGGAATTACCAAGTCCAAATTTGGGTTTTCATTCTCTACCTGATTCCATGGGTTTTCTCCCCCCAAAATATCTAGGGTTTCGAACACAAGTAGCTTTTCATGCCAAGTCTAAACGAATTGAACTGTTAAGAAAAAAATCACGTTCTTTTAAATTTAAGGCCTAGGACAGATTGTATTGGGCAGACAAGTACGTAAACAATTTGAAGTAATTACATACAATTTTGATATCCATCACAAAACTGTTTCAAGACAGCACTGTCAGTTTTGATGAGCTACTAAGCTCCACTTCAAAGCTTGGTAAAAAAACAATATCATGGCTCTCTGCAAATACGCAAAGTCGCAAAGAATAGACAAAAAAGAGAAATTTTCTAATACAATGTAGCTACAATCGTTACATGTACAATATAGTACCCATATATTCAATTTAGAAAACAGCAATATATATCATATAGAAAAAAGTTTGGTAAATATGATGTACATAAATAATATGTAGTTTCAGAGGCCACACATCCCCAAGTCTTGCTTAGCGGGCCCACGCGGAGGATTTCATCTCCATGAAACCATATTCTCTTTGTGCTTGTCAAGTCTACAAGTTTCTTGTACTCTGCAGCATATTGCAAACAGCAAAATCATTTGCAACCTTTAAATACTTTACAAAGATATATTTATTTACTATTTTTGTTTGTTGCATGTGGTTGCTTAATATTCTCAAAGCGCTTGGGCGTCGCCCAAATTGAAACTATTTACATATCTCTTTTGTTTTTAAATGACCCACTTTAAGTAAAATACCACTTTTCGTTTCCACACAGAAGAAATTATATTTGAGCTACGTTGGTCTCTAGTTGACAAAAATACGCGTCGTTACTCCGTTGTTTTCTTTTTGGCACAATTATTTACAGTTTTGATTGCGGATGCAAATAATAAAAAACAAAATACAGTAAACAAAAAAAAAATCCCTCCACATCAGGGCAGCTACAGGTCGCAACCTTTATGGTCATCTTAATCTGTATGCAAATCAGTATGACCTTTGACCTTAAGTACCAATAAATTCATAGTTAGAGGGCCAGCCTCTTAGATCACGTGGCTGCAACACGAAATTAGTTCCCCTGCAATCCTGACGCATATAACTCTACGATTTGAAAAGCAAAAATACAAAGCAAAAGTCGTTAACCTTTATAGTATGAATTCCAATGTGAAATTTCATCTTGAAATCAGAGTATCATGAGGTTTATCAAATGTTAAATTTTTCTTAGGGCTCAATTTCGAGTTCTAGTTTCATGATTGGTAGCAGGTCCACTTTCTGCTACAAAACATCAAATAATATATTTTTCAGGCCAAAGACAATGACCCAATTCGCGGCTCTTTAAAATAGATCATTCTCTGTGCTTACAGAAATAGCGCAGAAATTCTGCATGAACCTTGGTTTTATCAGATGCAGTCACCAACATCTTGTTCCTGACACGTGAAGTAAACCATTGAAGAGAATATTTCCCAACTTTAGCAAGAGTTATTCACTTTAAATATTAAATAGCAAAACTGAGCCGTGAAATAACAACAAAACAACCACATGGACTGAATTTCAGTGAGTTTAAAATTTAGTTGATGAAGGAAGTGAACCAGATCGCTAGAATGCTGCAATTTATTGTCACGGCTATCCGGTGTGTAACTTGACTTTTGATTGATTTGTGAATGACTTGTGATTGACTTGTGCTTGACTTGAGATTGATTTGTGATTGATTTATGCTTGACTTGTGATTGACTTGTGTTTGAACTATGACTGATTTGTGATTGGCTTGTGTTTGACTTGTGATTGATTTATGATTGACTTGTGATGACTTGTGATTGATTTATGCTTGACTTGTGATTAACTTGTTATTGATTTATGCTTGACTTGTGAATGACTTGTGCTTGAACTATGATTGATTTGTGAGAAACTTGTGACTGACTAATGATATGTCTTGTGTTTTGCTTTTGACTTTCATGACTGACCTATGACAAATGAATGGGAGGTCTGTGGTAACACCACGTGAATGACATCTCTTCGTGAGTTGTGCAGTTCGGAGAAGAAACAGTTGGTTTAACTCGACGTTTCGAACAGTATGCTATTTTCGTCATCTGGAGACGAACAGAGCACACTGTTTGAAACATCGAGTTAAACCAACTGGTTCTTCCTACGGAACCACACAACTCGCAAAGAGATATCATTCACATGGTGCTACTGCAAACCTCCCATTCATTCATCATGTCCACCATGCAAAATCTTTAAGTCTCATTTGACCTATGATGCTTCACGTGATCGACCTGATATTCAGTTGTGATAGACTTGTTACTAACTCGGTTACAACTCTGGTATCTTAAAGCTATAGTCCATCATTTGTAATAAGTGCATTTTGTTCGTTTGAAGCAACAAAAGTGTTCAAAATCTAATGAAGGGTGCTGAACAACTTACTTGATGAAGTTTCAGCTCAGCTTCAGCTTCATATTCCGAGAAAAACAGCATTCTAGGATCTCAATTTTAAATCAAAAGTTGCTAAATCATGTTTCGAATTGTTTTGAATTTCAGCTTTACGCGATGTTGCGCACTGATCCAACGAATTATAGCAACCGCGCACGCCTGTGTGTCGTTCCAATGCTTGTGCGCGCTGCGCCAATAACAAAACGAACAACTAATTTAAATTTTCCTACGGTGCCTCTTAAGAAGCACTGTTGGAAATGCCTTCTTTCGTTGATTTTTTCAAAATGAGAGCTTGCCAGAAAGGATAATTTCACAGGGAGTTTAGTCCCCTTACTATCTTTCAACCAGTATGTTTTTCAACAATAATTACGCCGGTTACTGTTTGGATGGCTGCAAATGATGGACTCGGGCTTTAAGAAGTTCTCCTCAATGACTGACTGAATAGGTTGCGTCAGCAGTTGTTTCATACTGTGTTTTACTTGTATAGATGCTGAGGCTTTATGTAGAGCTAGTGGTGTTGGAAAACCCTTTTAGGATTTTCCTCGTCATTGCCAGGTCATTCTGTGTGATGTCCAGCGCCTTGCTGATTTCTTCCCGGCGGTACCCCTCACGGACCAATATCTCCATCTTCCCCTGAACGCTATTGGGATCAACCACTGCTACACTGGTGGCTTTGGTAGGCTGGAGGAGTCCATTGGTGGGCGGGGAGGGCACTTGTCGCTGGGCAAGGGGAGGGGGTTGGTTGCTTGCCATGGGGGAGGGGCTGGAAGTTGGGCGGGGCTGGGTTGGGAGGGGTGGAGGCTGGTTTGATTGCTACAGGGTGTAGAAACAAAAATGGACAATAATGTGTGCTTAGTCCTGCATGTGTCTAGTATGGCAAGATTTATATTGACTGTTTAGTATAATAGTATTGACTTACTAATATTATATTAACTGTCTAACATGGCAGGTTTTAATATTGACTGTGCAATCTGCAGAGACTACATACATGCACATGTAGTCTGCAAACCAAATAATGTCCTCACAATAGGGTCTATGAGGTGTATGGGAGCTCATTTGCACTGGTTACCAATTTTGGCGTAATAGGATAAAACTAGCTAATTCCATGTCTGTTTTATGCCCATTTAATAAAGCGTGCAAAAAAACAACCAAGAAACACTTTCATGGTAATAGGCACCATCTTGTTCATGGGGCAAAAAGAACATCTGTTGCTGAGCACACACTTCAGTCGCAAACTTCGGCACTTCCAAGTCTTCATGCGTTTATTCCAATAAATTAGTCACTCACATCTAGCAACACATATTACCATGAAAGTGATTATTGTTGCAAAATGGGTGTATCTATGTGATGCAATCAAGCAACATGAGTCGTCTGTCGACCCTGGTCAATTTTTTTTATTACAGATTTGAAAAGAGCACAATCTCAGCATGACTGCTGATACCATCTTTAGTTCAAGTTGGAACACCAAGAGATGTGATGAAGTGATGTGATGAAGTGGCCCTATTTTGGCCTGTATCTCCAAACAAAAATTCCCGACAAACGACTCATTTAGCTTGATCTCATCACATATGCAGATTGCTAAGAAGGGCAACAAGTTTTAAAGTATATCCCACAAGTCATGGATGCGATTAAACATATTCACCTGTAGGGGGCCTCTGGCGCCGACAGGCGGGAGAGGTGGAATGTCATAGTCTTCTGGAGTTTCTCGAACTGAAAACAAAAAAGAGAAACTTTTTAACATGATAGCAGCTGTACAGGTTATTGTAAAAGGTCTTCATTTCTGCGGTTTCAGAAGTCTTTATATGTGAGGTTCTTTATTTGTGAGGTTTCAGAGAAAGTACCCAATTTCTAAGGTTCCAGAAAAGGTACACATGTATTCATTGCTGACGTTTTAGAAAAGGTCTTCATATCCGAGTTTCAGGTCTCCATTTCTGATGTGTCAAAGAGGGAATTTAGGTTTGAGGTCCTTATATATATCGTTTCAGAAAATTACAAATGTTAGCATTTCTGAGGTTTAAGAAATGTCTTCATTAAATTGGTATTAAGATAAGGTTGGCTATACCGAGGTTTCAGTTAACGGTTTTCATTTCTGAGATTTCATGCAAGATTTTCATTCCTGGGGTTTCAGGAAAAATCCTCGATTCTGAGGATTCAAGGTCTCCATTTGTGAGGATTCAGGTCGTCTTTATTTCTGAAGTTTCAGAAGAGGTCTTTATTTCTGAGGTTTAAGAAGAGGTCGTTAGATCTGAGGTTTAAGAAGAGGTCGTTATTTCTGAGGTGAAAAAAAAGGCTGTCTTCCAAAAAGGCAGTAAATGTCTTCATATTAAGGTCTTTAGAGAGGTCTAGGGTAATCAGGTTGGTGTAGCGGTCCTTTCCTCGCCTTCCGCCTCTGTGACCCGCATTCGAATCCCGCCTGGGCTAATATGAGGATTAGGTCCCTACCTGGTTCCGTGGGTTTCCCTCAGAATATTCTTCTGGGCTTTTCCTCCCACCTAACTTCTCGTTGTCCTCTCTCTACAGGTTTCTTCAGGCATGCGAGCTACAGTGCAGGGCACTTTTGAGGAATCCTTAGTTTTATTGCCAGCAATGATTGATAATAATAATAATTTGTAGGTTTTTTTTTTCGTTGCTGAGGTCTTCATTTCTTAGGTTCCAGAAAGGGCGAGGGGTTCAGGTCCAAGTATTTCTAAAAACGTACGTGGCATTCTTGGTTGCTGAGTTGCTGAAGGGGCTTGTGAGTTCATGGCCAAGTGAGGGCGTAGAGGGGGAACATCATAGTCCTCTGAGGGGGACGCTCTGCCACCTATGGTGTGCAAAAACACACAAAAGGGGGCAGTCAGTGACTGAAAGGAAAGCAATTGAGAAATACAGGTATAGATCTTATATGAGCAGCCATCTTAAAGGGCAATGCTTTTGTTCTGTAGGCTTGATCCTGCTTTGGAAATTGAAAAGAAAACTTAACAGAAGTGATGTCTCTTTTAAAAGCTTATTCCAAGTCCCTGAAGATAGACTCTATACTCAAAAACAAATCTAATGTGGTAAATGATCACAATCCAGTGAGGGATCATACCTATTAATTTCCTACCATGGAAATCCATCACTACATTAAGGTTATTCTCAATTCTGTTTTGATGAATTTGGAGTCCATTCTGAACTTTTCTAGTCTCAATCACATCCAATTAATTGGGGAAAAAAGGTGAAAAACCTTGGGACTTAAAAATTGTAAGAACATTTGTTAAAAATAGATAATCTTTTTTTTTTCCAATTCTTGAAACTTGGTATATGTACAATAAAGGTTGAGGATAAATAGAGTACACTACTAATAACAAAAAGAAATTACATTGAGTAAAACTAACAGCACATTGTACAATCAGGATTACTTTGGTAAAAACTAATTTGACAAAACTGCAAAATGCTAATAAAATGTACAGCATGTGTCTCTCAATTGAAACATCTTCGACGTGACTAAACTGCATTCATATGTGCAATCAAACCTGCTTCATTATCAGGCCACAAATTGGACAAAAAGAGGAAAATTCACAAGTAGGCTATTATTTTCAAATTGTAAAAAGTAGCCACAATTGAGAAAGGCTCATGGTCAATCATTCAGCCACAATTCAGTGAATGGCCACTAAGTAGTGATCATCATAGTGTTCAGCATGAATTGCTGGCCACAATATCACTGATGGCCATCTTGCTCAGAAATGCAGTCTCCAACACATTCAGCGGCCACCAAAAACTTGGTACAATATGCAGTGCCCACTACAAGCTATAGTGGTCAGCGGCCAACTTATGTAGAGGCCAACATATGCAGTGGTTAAGTGGCTACCATATTGTGTGGAGTACGGACAAGCTTTGGATCTCTCAACTGCTCAAGCTTGATATCTGGTCACTACGGGAGCCACAACTACATGGAATTGGCGGCCAAAATTTATCTGGCCACAACATGCACAATATCAAGGTGGCCAACGCACGTTTGCCACACCTGACAAGTGCACTCAATAGATGTTTGGTAACATTGAAGAGGCAGCTACAGCTTCATCAGGATCACAGCTGAGGCTGCCAGGTTTTGGAGATTGCAAAAGGTACCTGACCCTGACCTTTAACCTCTAACCCAGCGGGCAAAGAGAAACAACCAAAGAAACAAAGAAAATGAGAACTACAAGAGGGGGGATGACTACAAAAGAGGAAAACACAAGTGCTTTTTTTTGGTTAAACAACCAACAGCAACCACAATGAGCGACTAGACTACAAATGACTACTGGTACCATAAATGACATGGGGTTGGATGTTGATAGGGTGCCAGACTACGCTGAGTACGTTTTAAAAAGGGTATGGATTCAGTCTGGTTCCTGTCAGTGCTCTGGATGGTGTTCCAAAATGGACTTAGATATAGACAGGACGCCAAACTTAAGGCTGTGGCTGATCTGGTACCCTGCCAATGTTCTAGGCTTTGTGCTATGTGTATGTATTAGTTTGGTGCCGTGGATTTTGTCAGGGTACCAAACCAAATCGCCAAGAATTGAGGCTATGGCTGTAGTCTGGTAACATGTCTCTGTTCTTCATGTATCATTCTAGAGAATGCATTGGTCAGGTGCCAGCACGAAACCATTCCAATGCCTCAGATCAATGTTCCCATATGAGTGTTGATAGAGGACCAATCTGAATCACTGATCTCTATGTAAAGACTGGATAGCGGATGCCCATATGGTACATGTACATCAGTCACATAGTTCAATTTGCATTTTGACCAGATTTTACCCGGTCTTGGAAAAATGGCCGCTGGTATAGGAACATCCAAGTGTATATACATGTATACAGCCTGTGCTGTATCAAGATTTGACACGCATTGTGGTCACATACACTATTTTTATGATGTTCTAAAAATGCCAAATTTCCGTTGTGACTATATTTCCAAACTATGCAAAAAGTGAATTGCTGCATTCAAAAAAGTATACCACGATGTTTGAAATATTGTAAAACCGTGGTCAGTGGTGGACAAAAGGTACACCAGATGAACTCAATGTTACAAAAGTGAATTACAACTGCCTATAAGTAAGGCAACTTGTCCTTTAAAGACCAGCAGCCGGTCTTTCCAGTATGGCTTCAAATGGCTTTCTTCTGCGGCTTTCTGAAACTATCCAGTTTATCATGTGTTTATATAGAAGAAATCAGTGATCTGAATAAGGTCAAAGAGGCTGTGTTACCGGTAGACTGCACACCCTGCCTATAGCCCAGTCTTCTTAGACAGTCCTTGGCTGGGTGTCAGACCAAAGTTAAAAGCCTCAGCCTCACTTTTTGGTTTGGAAAGAAAAAGCTAACAAGTAGGACAACTTCTATAAGCAGGACAATCTACAAGCACATATACAGTACCAACTGAACAAAAAGCCCCAATACCTTATCAACACATAACTGACTTGATCATCCCAAACTAAACTTCCACATTTGTTGTAATACAAAGATAGAAAAATAAAAGGCAGAGAAAAATAGTCACACTATTTCTCCTTTTAACCCATTCGCACTTGTACGACATTGTATTACATTGTGTTTATTCACTGAAGAATCTATACAACCACAGAGTGCTGGGGTGGTTTCAGGTGCTACAGTGACTAGAGGGTCAAATATGTGAGGTTGTTTTATTTCCATTTTTCTGTATGGTTTTAATTAAATGAACAGTGACATATCTCGAATGAGAAAAAGAAAAAACAAAGAAAGGAAAGAAATTTGAACAAAAATTAAAGTTGTTCTCGTATTACAACAAAAATAGAACAGTGATTTTGGGATGCTCAGCAGTGCAAACATAGTGTCTATCTAATGCACTGGAATGACTTGTTTTTGGAAACCAGAAAGGACACTCACACACAACTTACAACAGTGACAAGTGATCCTTTCTGGAAACAAACAAACTTAACAGAAGGGGGGGGGGGTGTTGAAAACAATAAGTGTGGCGGAAACCAATGTGCAAAAACAAAAAGAAAGGCTTGTCTTCTGAGGTTTTGTGTTTAAACTGTCAAGGAATTCATTCTTGAGCTATTCATAACATGGAATTTGCGTTGGGGTGATGTAAACCAATATTAGGTTTTGCCCTTCAATAATTCCGGTACCCGCTGCTAAATGTACCGGACATCAGATTTGAACCAGCCAACCGATCCCGCAGCTCGGTGGTTGAGTGGCAAGACGTCTGCACTAGATAGCAGGTGGTCGTGGGTTCGAGTCCCACACGAGTGTTTTTTTTCCTCAAACCTTCAATCAGGAGGTAACACACTGAGTATACAGTATACGTCGGTGAAGGGCAAAACCTAATATTCATTTTTAGACTGTATATATTCTTGTACATGTAGAATATGTATGAATTCTTACATATTTTAGACAATTTGTTTATTTTATATAAAGCACAAAGGGAAGCTGACGATGTGTATTGTGATAATTTGTTTTTAATATTTGAAGAAAGAAATTGACTGGAGCACAGTTTGAACCTGTGACCTACAGATTACCGTTCTGGTGTATAAAAACTGAGCTATCCAGCCTTGCTTGCCCGAGACAATTTCTTAGTTCACCTAAAAAAAGTACATGTATTGAGTTTCCCTCCAAAACAATTTTCACAGATTGTTTCCGGTAATTTTAGTTTGGTTATTGATCATCTGCTTTTTTTTTTAGACTACAGCTGTATCAGAATTTTGAAAGTGAGATTTACAGCATAAAATGTTTAGCGTCCTCAGTCCCGACAAATGGAATCAGTTCCTGGACTTGTAAAGAGCAAACTCAATGCTGGCTTGCTGGCTTTGTCAGTAGACAAAGCCTTACCCTGTGATTGTGAAACTTGGAACTTGACACATATGACTGAAAACAAGACTCGAGATTTGACTCAAACAGACCGCCATATTGACTGGGACAAGGTTAAATTTGCTGTTAATTCCCGCAAGGAAGGTTTCAAGGGAGTTGTGATCTCTGTGTGGCCATGACAAGCAAGCTTGACTGCATGTCTAAATCCCTTTAGGAGTCGTCTCACAAAATGTGAGGCGTTCTGGCAAAAAATGAGATGGAAATGGGCACAGGCCGCAGTGGAGAACAATGCAAAAACCGAATGGTGGTGATTTTTAATGATAGTTGTAATCTGTCATATGTCTACTACATGTACTTATATTTTAAAGAACTAGTTTTAAAATTGTTGAATAACTGTATATTTTCAGGGAAAAAACCCAAAAGGCATCTTTCCGTTTCATGACTATCCGATTCGTCACAAAAAAACCCAAAAAACCAAAAACAAAAAAATTCAAGTAAATGACCCCAAAACATGCAAAAAGTCGCTCAGTAAGGGTGAATCTTAGTGCTGAAGAATGTGGTGTGACTTGCACAATATTTTTGTGAACTCACTTCACGTCATACTAACGTATGCAGCCTGTCTAAAAAAAAATGGTACAATCGAAAACAATTTTTTTTTTCAATATTAAATCTCAACATAAGTAAGTCGTTTTGAGCATCACATTAAAGAAAAAAGACCAGGCTTTACAATACTTTTTGTTTCATCTCATTTGCTGTTGTCAATTCAGAGATAACTCCAGTTTACTGCGGAACACAAAAATCGAGTTTGTTTCTTTTGCCAAGTTGCGATCTTTTGTGAGCTTCAAGACAGCATGGCACAGTACTCGAAACAACTCTGCCCATGCATAAAAGTGGCATAAAATCGATTTTGGTGTATCGCACTAAATTGATTATATCTCTGAATTGACAAAAGCAAATAAGATCAAACAAACACTTTTGGAAAGGAAGCCCAGTCTTTGTTCTTTAATATTATGCCAAGTAAGAATGACTTATTTTGAAATTTCATATTTAACCAATTTTTTTTCTGATTGTACCATTTTTTTTGAGACAGGCTGTACATGTCATTTTTCTGCTTTTATGGGAATTCGGTGAACTACTCGCGAGTACTCGACTAATCGTGAGTTATTCCTTTGCAAATACTTAAGTAGAAAAGTCCACTGTTTGCCCAGACCTACAGAACTGACAGTAATTTGAATAGCAAATGCGACATTTAAAGAGCCCATGAAACAGAATTTGCGTTTACTTGTATCTGTGATGTGCAAGTGTATGTTCGATTCCACCATCACAATTAACCTTAAGCGTGTATTTTAATGGTATTTTATGACTTTAGGTAAACTTAAAGACTGTATGCTAATAAAGCAATTTACATATTCATGAGTATATCAGTGATGTCATCTTAGGTAGAAGCTTAAGTGTCACGACTGTACCTTCCAACAGTTTATTGAGTAAACTCTCATGTTATTTGCATTGTTCGGATGAATCGACCACAATAATTCAATGAGCCCTTTCAAAAGCATTCAACACAAAAGGTGACATAACATAAGAGTGTGTGTAGCCGTTGTAAATATAGCTCCCTCTACTGTCAACATAAGATGGAGGGCTATCAATGGCTAATATAAAATAACAACACAAATTTAGACACATAACATGGAAGTGAACTAAATGTTAGGCAACCGACCACCATAAAAAACACAGCACACATTGGTCAAGAGTTGTCATGTTTACTGTACCAAGATTGCTCAATAATGGCACCCTATTAGGCTCAAATGAGGCTAATAAACATGTCATATTTTTGTTTAATGTTAGCCCAGCAGAACTTCTGATTTCATTCTTCACACCTCTCAATCAGAGTTATTTACATATTTTTGAAATTCACATTCTTCAGCGGCGCATTAAATTTTGTTTTTGATGTAGGTCATTTTTGTCACTTTATTGTTTAAACAGTATAAAAGCCATCCCATTGATTAGAAGATTTTATTTGTGAAAATTCCAAAAATATCAACTCTAAAAAAACACCAACAACAAAATTTTGCACCCATATAGAATATACAGGATTTCCTCGACATGTACATTGTAGAGACCTTTACTGTGGTGAAACAAGGTTTGCATGCAGGTTTTACACACACTCAACCAAAATGTACGCAGGTTTTGACTCAAAGCAACGCATGTCACATGTGGCTGACCATAGATCCCACTAAGTCATGGCTTCTACAATAATTTCATTAAATGGACTCTAATACTGAAATTTGTATCCTTGTGGAGACATTTCTTTGTTCTCGTGTACTAAAGTTTTCGAGTTTGAAAGTACAGTTTCAAAATGCTCTTATTTTAACCAGAATTAATTTCCTTGGCTGCAATTCCGACCTAATATCCCTTTTCTAAAACTCTGTTTGCGACAAATCACCATACCTTGGAAATTCCTAGTTTTTGAGTAAAATCCATATATCTATTTCGTGAAAACCTTGTGGAGACGTATTCATCTATAGAAATTGCCCTGTGGAGTCGTATACAATCTTTTGTTCCCTATTGTGTGCATGTCTCCAGAGGGCACAGTGTATCAGATCTGGTGTGCACACAGTAAACACGACAGCTCTTGACAATAAACACTAGAATGAAACTTTGAAAGGAAAGAAGCAGGGAGAAACAAAGCATACCTAGGGTGAGAGCTTGGGTTAGGTGCGGCACGTTTTCATAGCCAAAGTGTTTCTGCTCCAACTGGGCAGCAGCAGAAGGCGAGGGGGCCGCTGGGTGGTGCAGGGCGGGGTTCAGAGGCGGGGGCAGGTTCAGGTACCCAACGCTGTTCTCGTAAAGAACACTGCCCTCGAAAGGTGAGGCAAAGGGGTCATCGGTTTTAAAGATGGCATCAAGTTCCTCTGCGCTGTGCGCCTGAGGTTGTGATTTCAGGTTAGGGATGAGGTTGTTGGGATGGGTGTCGCTGACCGAGCGACGGAATGGGTTCGACGGGTTGTCTGCTGGGGCCCAGGGTGAGGCGGGCGTGGCACCGTGTGTGGTCATGGTGCCGGGCGGGGACGACGACTGAGCATTATTGAGGTGATCATAAAGGAGATTGACATGGCCCATTGGTGGGGCAGGCGCAGAGTGCAGGGGCGGGGCCGGGGAACCAGTCCGGGCGGGGCTGCTGTCGTCACCTGTTGGAGCGGGCGTGGAGAGGAGAATCAGGTCGTTTGTAGTGGCGGGGGGTGTGAGGCGGGCTCGGGGTGCGCTTTGGGGCGGGGGAGGATGGTCGTACACACCCTCTGTCACCGGGAACGTCTTCGGTCCTGCAGGTAAACACAAATGCACAGATATTTAGGTACCGGTATACACAATATATGGTATTGGCCAGTCATTTAATTCCCCACTTCACAGTGAACAAGGATTTACCAAAATTCAGAGAACCGCTTTGCTTCTCACTTTCCTTCCAGCTGTGATCTGGGTTCCAATCCCTTCCAGGCCGACAGGTGGATTTGGTTTCAATATCTGCCTTATTCCATGTGCACTCAAGGAGAAATCACTGAAATCCCCCCCCCCCAACTTTATAACTAAAACATGAATTGTATTCATTCTGTAGGTTTCTTCAGGCTTCCTAGCAACCAGTGCCTATCACACTTTTAAGGAACACTTACCAGTTGTTTTAATACTATTGAATAGAAGACCAGGCTGGCCTAGTCAAGCTAGCACAAAGTCTCAGTTGATGACATGTTCTTAGTGACTAAGTCAATGTCAGTCACTGATATCAGTCAGAGGACATGTCCAAGTACCCCGAGGGGTTACAGGGAGGAGTAGCTTAAGACTGCTGGGAGCCCTGCACCCGATTTCACGAAGCGCTGCGACGCGTCGCAACTCAAGTTACGACGTGTAACACGTCGCAACTCACGACGCGTCGTATCATCCATTTCACGAAAGTTGCGATGTGTTGAACGCGTCGTAAGTTCCTTGCCAACGGCTAAAAACACGTCGCAAGTTACGACGTGTCTAGTGGTCATCGCAAAATACGAAGAGTACCTTTCTAAGCCAGTTTAATGCCATAAATATGACAAAAACGAGATTATAATACCGAGGCAATGTGTGTTAAGTTGTAAATAGAAAATTCATTGAATAATTATGAATTAGACTGGAATATTGCAGCTGAAATTTGAAAGTAGCTATACAGTCCACTGAGAAGCTTGTTTTCCTTCAAAATTGCATTGCACGGAAACCATTTGTTTTACGTTTTAACAAATTTCGAGCTGAGATCCGACGACTCTTTGTTGAATATCAGACGACTATTTACTGTACGCTGACTACATACATAAACCAGTCATCGAGTTGTGCTATAAATACACCTACGATGCGTCGCACTTACGACGTGTTTCGTGAAATGGATCGCAGGACGCGTTGCAGCTGCGACACATCGTAGAGATACGACACGTCGCATCGCTGCGATGCATCGTAAGTTACGAAGAGTTTGATGAAATCGGGTGCTGGACATTTATAGCACTTGACACTCATGCCAAGGTGCCACTGCTTTAACTGTGCACATTCAGATTAATTTAAAGTGAGTCTAATTCACACAATCACTGTGTTTGGGGAAGTTTTTTTATTCTTAGGGGAATTAGGACCGAGTCGTGGGGACTTTTAGCGTCTTAGGTCCCCATAATACCGGTACCATGCTCAACAGGTGTGTACACGTAGTCCCCACAGTTAAGAAAGAGGATGTGTGTACGTGTTCTACATAACCCCCGAGGACAGACACACAAAGGGAGAAGGATCCTTTCAGTCCTCGGGCATCGGGTCTTTTGTTCAAAACGGTCCTCTGTAGTAGGTTCGTGTGTTAGTCTATGGAAGAGTGTTATATTAAAGTGACAAAGGGAAACACAAAGCATTGTCCTCGGGAGTATAGTAATTCAAGAGCGTGTGCACACACCTGTGTGTATACATGCTGTGTCTCTCTTATTCACTCAAGCTCTGATGTGTGGTGACAAAGTGCCATCTATTGTTCATGCAATAAAATCCATTGAATGGCCCTTCAGGTCTGGCAAAAATCGGAATCTCAGGGGAATATCAAGTTGAAACTAGTTCAACTGGTTATCAGATGAACTGGAAACTGGTTTTGAACTGGTTTAACTTGTTCTGAACTGGTAAACTGGTTTTGAAACAGTTAAAACAGTTCCAGCTGAACTGGAAGTTGGTGACTGGTTTTGAACTGGGTTGAACTTGTTTTTGAACTGGTATAACAGGTTTTGAACAGTTTAACCAGTTCCAGCTGAACTGGAAATTGGTGACTGGGTTTGAACCGGTTTAACTTGTTGAACTGGTATAACTGGTTTTAAACGAATACCTGTCTTCTGGTTGTCTGCAGATGAGAAGCCATCTGCCTCGGTTCGCTCCACTCCTTCATCCAAGTAGCGTCGGGGTGGCAGGGTCGGGAACCCTGACGCTTTGCTGTCGCCTCCCGCAGCAGCTGCGCCCCCTACCCTAGCCGAAGCCCCTTCAGTCAGGTCATTGCTGGACGAGCGGGGGGACATACTGGGTGAGGAAGTGGGCGAGACATTGGGTGAGGGTCTGCGCGGGGGCAAGGCTGGGAGGTTGCTGGGTCCGAGTCTCTTAGGATGCTCGTTCTTTGGGCCTTTCTGAGGGGCGGCGTAGACGGGCTCCGTTGGCGGAAGCTGTGCATCAGAAACAAGACACACGATCAGCGTGAAAATTGAACTGAAGTAGTGCTCTGCTTACATCCTGTGTTGCACATGAATTTTTTTTTCAAGTCATTCAAATATATTGATACACGTACGTAAGCCAATCACATTTAGGGGTGTGCATATACGGGTAGTACGGGAACCGAGTACCCAATTGAAAAGAAAAAAACAGGTACCCGTTCAAGAAACCCAAACCCAAAATTAACATCTAGGAAGTTGCTGTTGTAGTACAAAAGTAGTACCACATCGGTGCTTCATATTCAGCAAGATACAAGTGTGTACACTGGGCTTACATGCAGCATTACGCTGTAAACTGCAACTTTTGCAAGAGACATACATGTAAGTGTGACATCTGTTTTGCTTTCTCACGTTGCCTGGTTTTCATTTTGAAATTCCCCCAGAACAATATTCAAAACCTTACTTTTTCATTGTCTTAGAAGTCACTATGTAAATTTGTGTAATTTGTGAAGATGGTTACGGGTATCCGATCCCATAATCTGGAACCGGTTCCTGACATCAGCGGTCGGGTACTCGGGTACCGGTACCCGGGTACCTGGTTCTGATGCACAGCCCTGATCGCATGGACACTCTGCATGAACTGTAGATGGTGTTTCGGGACCACGCCCAAGAACTTCTTGTGCAGGCACACTTCATTCTCACTACTTGTATACCAAGTTTAAACTTAAAGGCATGTACCGGTAGGATCATTTGCATTTATCCCAAAAGTAACCTACCAAATTATTATCAAAAAGCTTACTTGGATTACAGATCATACTGGCACTAAACACCCAGTGATATTATATATTATTCATTCTGGCTCGCTGTTTACTGAGCTGAAACTTGAACAGGTTACAGTTGTGAACATTCTTCTTTGGATTTTGAGGGGTGTTGTTATTGGAAACAAACAAAATGCATGAAAAGCAAATCATCCTCATAATATACATGTATGCCTTTAATTTCCGTACATTTGGGCATTCATGGCCTATGGAAAGGAGTAAAATACAACATACAGGTAGTTTACAACCAGACTGGGACCGTTTTTATGCAAAACTCTCGTCATGCTCGTGCAGGTTTTACAACGTAACTGGATTTTTCTCGAACTGTGACAGTTCCAGAAGAGACCCTGCTCTACATACATGTAATATACATTGTTATCAGTTCATGAACAATGCTACAATTATCATGTCAATTTTAACATTGCGTGTAACCTCCACTAGAAACTTCCGAGAGAAAACAGTTAATCTAACTGTAAACTGGCCAGCCCTCTAATCTATCTTAATCCTTTGTCCAAACAGTGGCTTTATAATCCCTAACACTTAGTGTAATAAAGCTACCTGTGCTGTCACACAACTGATTTTGACAAGTGCAGGGGATTAGCAGCAGTATCTGATAACAGGGACCAGTTTGTTGACAAAAGGATTAACAAGGTAAGAGTGTTCCACTAGAAGTACTGTATTCTTTCCGAGTTTACCTGCCCTAGCTCAGAAAGCTTCTAGAAGTACTTACACCTGATGGAAAAAAGGGGAAAATAGAGTTCAAATAGAAATAATAACCTCCAAACCGTCATCCTCATCATCATCAAACTCAAAATCCTGCTTCTCTTCAGCTCCGTTTGCCTTCTCCCTATGGTAGGGGTCAATCACAATGATCTCCGTGCCCTTGATCTCACACCGGCAAAATGGACACCCTTGACCATCAGTGTCCTGTGGTCAAAGAACACGAGAGTAGGTATAGTATAGTGGGTAGGTATTCATACACTCGCACTCTGTAGTTCACGCAAGTGTGAATGTAAATCATGAGCAAATAACATTCCATTTTTATGAGTAACTTTGGTGACAAGAAAAAAATGAACAGAGCCAGTTTTCAGAAACTACATGAAAATATGAGAGATAACGTACAATTTTGCATGCATCTTTGTCATTGGCAATCAAAATCTTGAGTTAAATATAAAATAGATTCCACATGCAACATACATGAATACAGCAACTAACTCACACACTTTCCGACAGATTGTCTCAGATTTTAAAACTAGAGGTCTTCATGTTACTTTGTTATTTGTTGAAATGAAATGCTGGAAATCATTTCTATGGATATGTGGAGAAAATTATACAGGGTGATCCAATAAATGCAACCCTAAAACATTTGCCTTTACGAAAAAACATGGGATCAGTGGATTTTTATGTTTTGGGTATCAGATTAAAGCTAAGAGCTTTTTCTTTCAAATACTGAAGAAAAAAATCATGAAAATAGCACTTTGGGTCGCTGAGAAAATGCCAATTACCGGTATGTAAGCAGTCATTTTTAATCCTGTACACAAGTACATGTACTTCAAACAGTGAAACATTTTACTGTAAGCCTACTGTGCAATTATCCTTCATTTGTGCAATTTCTTAGTATTTTGACAAATTCACGATGCTGAAAGGGTTAAAATAGGACTAAAAATGTTAAGGTGGAAAACAAAAGGTATTTCCATCAAATTCATTTGTACTCTTGTCATATTATGTGCCATGTTGATTGTAACTTGTAAGGATTAGGACATGCACAAATAGGTACAGTGAAAATCCCTTACCATGCTTACTGTGGTAATGTTTTGTGTACAGGATGAACAATGACTACTTTTACATAATTGGCATTTTCTCAGCAACCCAAAGTGCTTTTTTTCATAATTCTTTTCATAATTTTTTACAGTATTTGAAAGAAAAAGCACTCAGCTTTAATCCAATACCAAAAACATAAAAATTCCCAGTTCCCTTTTTTTTTGGAAAGGCATATGTTTTAGGGTTGCACTGTTTTTTTTAGGTCACCCTGTATTCTGCAAACATTTCTGTTTATTCAAACTTAACAAGGCCATTTAAGGTTTTATGAATTCACATGCATGTTTAGAATTTCACAACGAAAGAAAAATTACACAACCATGACAGGAGGAAATATATCAAAATACACGCATATCATTGTGTCAACTTTCACTTGTATTTTGAAAACGGCTGTTGTAATAAAATAATGCTAGCAAGACCTAACATGTTGATGAACTTCCTGTAGCAGGGTTACACAGTTGATGATTTTCAAATGCAATGATGTTCATTTTTAAAGATTTTTAAGTGGCCTGAATTCTTTTTCAACCATTAGGACAGAGTAAATCATAATTATCATGTACATGTAGTTGATACAGGTTCATCATGTAAAGGCATCAAGTGGGTGGTGTCACCAAAGAAAGTTTTTCTGCTCAACATAATTTGCATTTCACACCGAAATCCAAAACTGCTTTTTAAATGATATTTGGAAATGTAAAACTTCAGAAAAATTCCTTTCATTCTAAAACAGATGATTAATCTTCCAAGAAGGCACAAAGTCTGCCTGATGACGAAAGACCACACTTGAACTGAGGCACAGTTTTTCTTATGTTCTCATACTCATAAAATAGTATTGGATGGAAAACAAATTAAAAGAAAGCAATGATCAATGAAATGATAGCCTTGATTGCAAGGCTGTGTATGCGCTGTATCATCGTGAGCGTATTGATGGCCATAGCTACAATCCTGGCCAAATCTTGCTGGGCCCCCAACCACCCGGCCCCCTTTCAATGTTGTCTCTCATTGCGCGGTGTGTGCTCCATCAGCTGGAGAGAACAACATTGACCGGGGGAGTGGGGGAGTGGGTGACTGTGGCAGGCTCAGGAAGTGTCCCAACCATTTTGGCCGGGATTGTAGCTTATTACCTGGCCGCCTCTACCCCGATCCATCTGATCGCACACACAAAGCCCGTAGTGCACTGTACACATGGTACATGCTCAGTGTGCATGTACATTGTTAGACTTTGTCTAACAACGTACACTGAACGTTACATGTTCACGCATTGTCCCCATGTGAGAGTCCCAACCCGCGTACACTGGGGCGTACATGTACATGTGCACCCACCTCGGATCACACCTTCGGAGCACGGGCTGTGACTACACATGCAGCAGTATTGCGCATGTGAATGCACTGTGGGCTTCGGGTGTACGATGGATCAGGGTTTGCCGTGTATGTTTAAGTGGAGCCCGGTAAGCTACATGGACACATGTACATATATGGCCAGCGATGCCCGCATGCTGATACAGCACATACACAGCCTTGCATTCAAGGCTATTGAAATGAAAGCAACAGCCTAGATCAGCCAATAGAACCGTCGCATGTCAATCTCCAAAGTCTACCGCTGTTTCATGAATTCATGTACTAGATTGCTCACATGCAGAGACGGACAACTACATTTATAACAGAGCACACGCATGTACAGGGCAGCAGGCACTGATTGTTACGTTTTGAACAGCAACAAAATTGTGAGAAGATTCTTCAGGGCTACCTAATGTTAGCATATGATGTCAACTTAAAAAGGACATGGACAACAAAACAAAGGTACAGAAAATGCGAGGCACATGTACATGTATACATACCTTATTGGCATTCATTCTTGACTGCAAAAACAGAAGTAGGGAAGAGCAAGGAAATTTGGGGCAGAAAGTGGGGAAAAATGAAAGAAAACAAAAATTGAGAAGGATCACTTTTCCTTCAGTACTATTAAAACAAATAGGAATGACTATAAACAAATGTTCTGCTGCACTGCAGAGCAACCACACTTTATTTGCGAAACTCTCATTTATCTTCACGAAACATTTGAAAAACAAAAGTGTTTATTTGGAATAAAAACTGTCGCTGATTAGAAACAAGCATTGGTACAACTGGGCTCTTGTATGAGTGCACTCTTGCAGCAATAAACTACGAGCACAAGTAAGATTCAGCTATTGTTTTTGCAGTGAAAGGAGAACGAAAGCGGGTAAATCATCTGCAACTAGAGCACTCTAACTTTTATTTTTTATTAATGTGCTGCCTGGTTTTGTTTTTAGCCTTAGCCGGTTTCAGCTACTGGTTGCTGAGGTACTGGTACATGTACCGCATCCATTTTTGGAATTGATGATTTCAGACATCAAATTACAGGAGGACAGTTATTGGTGTGAACTGAAAATGAAACAAACTTCTTTAGTGAATTTGGCCTTCTAATGTATCTCACTTTAAAGAAGCCACGATACAGAAGTTTGAAAACTGAACTCTCGGAACTAAACATGAACATACACTCAACCAAAAAAGAAAGTCCCCCCTTCCAATACTTTTTTGATTTAACTCAAAACTATTTAGCACCTCTCACTCAAATAATGACTGATCAGTACAGAAATTCCTTAGCAATGCAGCCATACTCTTTATTTGCCCCAAAACAGTGATAATGCGTACAAATTTATGCAATTTATGACAAATGGTACCGAAAACAGTTGCACTCACGTATACAAAAGTGCAACTTTGTTTTCGGTACCATTTGTCATAAATTGCATAATTTTGTACACATGATCACTGTTTTGGGCCAAACAAATATGGCTGGATTGCTAAGGAATTTCTTTTCTGATTAGTCCTTATTTGACCAAGATGTGCCCAGTAGTTTTTGAGTTAGACAAAAAAGTATTAAGGGGGGAATTTCCTTTTTGGTTGAGTGTATTTATACATCCTCTTCAACTGTGTACTGTAATCTCTAAAGCCACATCTGAAATATACTTGGCTACGGCTGGAAATAACACTGGGGTCTATAAGAAGTGGCTGCAGCCGCTGCCATAGGCGTGAGTGTAACTTCCAGCCACAGCCATTCAGAGATTTTACAGACATGTAACCGACAGACATGTAACTGTTGGTGACTAGCCTGTGTAAAAGCCATGGCAGGGGAACCGGAGTGAATTTTGGACTGCCTGATGAGACTGATCAATCACTCTTGGAGGAAGACTGCATTAACCCTAACATACATGTAACTCAACCCATCAAACCCAGACAGCATGTTTTGTTGGAATCTGTCAGGATGGGTACAGTACCCCTAAACTGACAGTCTTTTACATTGGGTTGGCACACCTCCAGAAACTAAGTCAGAAATATGTGTGTGCAGTTTCCCATATGGTGTTGGAATTTGCCAGGATGGGTATGGTTCCTAGTACATGTAGTAAATCATGCTAGGGAGTTAGAGTTAAGGAGTGCATCAGAATTATAAAATCATAGACGTCAAACGACCAGGACTGCAAAAAAAAAATTGGACCCCAAATTTATAGAATGACCACAATAGTTCTACAGTACCATGAATGGCAAATTTTTGTTCAGCCTTTTTTTTACCTGCCAGGCATTGAGGCATGAGGAACACAGCAGGTGACCACAGGGTTCTAGACGGATATCCTTGTTGTTCTCAGTACAGATCTTGCAGAGTTGGAAAGTGGAGCCCATCTCGCAGTACAGGGCGTACTGGTCCTGCGAGACATGAATGTGCTCCTCCATAGGTTTGGTGTTGATGGAAGTCAGGTCTGGGTTGTCATCTTCTCCGTCTGGATACAGGTAGCTATAGTCAGGGGAATGAAAGAATCACTGTATAGCAGAGGGCAATTTCACAAACATAGAGTGTTCATTTACATGTCATAGGACGCGGAAGTGGGCGTCAAACACTTTTTGAAAATTCTTGACCTCACCCGCACACTTCTCGATACAGAGTTGTGTTGGCGGATATAGGTGACTTAAAATCTGATTATCCCACTTTTTTTTCAAACTGAATCTGAATTCATCGGAAGTTTCCATTCAGCTCACAGTCAGGCAAACAAAAAGTGACGAGTAAGGTGCCGCATTGAATTTTGTTCACGACATTTTGGTATACTTTGCCGGATGGATGACCGCTGGGCCTTTACAAAAACACTCCAGAGCCGTAATGTGGCAAAATGATGGGTGGGAACTCTCTGATCAGACGAATGGGTAGGATATTCGTGAACCAAAAAGACAGCCAAGGAGTGAATGCAATTACAATCAGAGACCATAAAGCAAATAGGGGGATGTTTCTGTTGTTGTCCTGAGCTTGTGTCACCAAAAAAAAAAGAAAAAAAAAGAAGGCCTGATTTTTTTAAAGGTTATTCTGAATATCGGGTTTTCAAAATCCGACCAAAATAGTGGAATTCAAACCAATTTTTTAAAAATCTGATTTTTAGTCACTTTGCCTCTCCACTTCCAGGAACTCTCTGCCATCATTGCTCCATGTGTCAGACTTAAAGGTACATGTATTGTCCATCATTTGTAATGTGTGCATTTTGTTCGTTTGAAGCAACAAAAGTGCTCAAAATCTAAAGAAGGGTGCTGAACAACTAACCTGACGAAGTTTCAGATCAGCTTCAGCTGTATATTTCGAGAAAAACAACATTCTACAAATGTTGGATCTTGATTTCAAATCAAAAGTTGCTGAATCATGTTTTGAATTGGGCCTGAATTCAGCGTCCAAGGCACGTTCTCACTGAGCCGGTTGCAGCTACGCGATGTTGCGTACTGATCCGACGAATTATAGCAACCATGCGTGCGTGTGCGCCGTGTCAACGCTTGCGCATGCTTCGCCGAATAAAAAAACAAACTACTAACGGAAATTTCCAACGGTGCTTCTTAAGAAGCACCATAGGAAAGGCCTTCTTTCGTTGATTTCTTCAAAATGACAGCTTGCTAGAAAGAATAATTGCACAGGCGACGCCCATGTATCAGACGTTTGTCGAGTGGCTCTGCACAAGTGAAGGTATGATACGCAAACTCTCTTTCGAGGTCTTGAACTTACAATCCCTCCCTGTTGCCATCAATGAGGGCTTCGCAGAGGGACTTGTTCTGCGGGATGGTCTGTAGGATGCTGCCATCTTGTGTGACGTATCCAATGGCCCACTGGCCTAGACGAGTACAGCTCAGTCTGAAGATGTAGCTGAAACAAGAAGACAGAGATATTTATTGACATCATTTTTCATATTTTAATTCCTTACAGTTGCAGAGTGAACAGGAGTATAAGTTCTGTAGATGTAGGCCTTAGAAAAATGCACCTTTAATGGACGTCACATGTCAAACAATGACATCATCACGACATCACTTCAATTTTCATCTATAACACATCCTGGTTTATATTGTACATACCAAGTTACACCCGAATTGGTTCAGCGGATATAGGCCATACATGTGTTATATGTGTTATATATAGGCCGTGATGTGTTATCAAGACCAGTATGTACCGGTACATGGGTATTTGTTCATTTGTACAGTATCCGGTTTAAAAGCAGTTGATCAACCCCCTCAGATTAACATGAAAATAACCATTTGAATAGCAAGTTCCTGTTTCTACTGGTATCTTAAACATGTTAAAGGCGATGCATGCACGCTTGTCATCTTTTTTTTAGAGATTCCTTTCGTGGAACTGCAATATGTACATTGTACAAGTAGTCCTGTTTAATTTAGACAATTTCTGGAGTTAATTGATTTCACACACCACATCTAAACGCTCTTCATATACATGTACATGTGATTGTCAACGAACTCTTGCAATGTGTATCATGTATTTGTACATGATGTTTTGTTGCCTACATGTACGTCCTGTTGCACATCATTGCAATGTTTGGAACTTGTTCAGGTGTACAGGATTGTTGGAGAGTCGGTCCATCACGAGTTTTAACAAGTTTAAAGTTGCGTTCCACGTGCTCTTCAACATTGTTTTTTTTCTCTTATTGACCCTAACTCCCTAGGCCTTTTTGCTAGGATGTAGCCTCAATCCTGCAAAATCCTCCAATTGGCCTCATAATGGAAAAATAGCATAGCCTCAATCCTGCAAATTCCTCCATTATTTCTTGAATACCAAGATCAAATTCAAACATGCATGATTCTTGCAGTTATTACAGTTAGAAATCATTTTTAAAAAATATAGCAAGAAAAGGACAACCTGTAGTGTGAAATGTCTAAGGTGGGCCGCGCGAGGGGTCCGGAAGCTCGTTGCGTGAGCTTTTACTTTCAGGTTCTATAATAACTGGACTTATTATAGAGCGCCACATTGCCAAAGGATACAAGGCGCTTATTATTACCCTGCTCATTGGGCCAATGAAACATTCCAAATACCATCTCAGCTCCCTGGGGAGTATACAGCTCGATGCAGCCATTTCGGCGCAAAGCAGCTGAATCAACCACAATTACCATCTCTGCCCTCACAGGTACCCATTTACTCCTGGGTGGAGAGAAGCAATGAGTGCCTTACCCAAGGGCACATGCACCATAGCTGCAGGCTGGACTCGAACCCACAACCCGCGGAATTACCCACAAACCACAAATTCAATGCTCCTTACTACGAGGCCACAGCACTCCACAAAATAGAATATTTCAACTTGTATACTTTTTTATTCCACCCCTCCCCCATAAAACCCTCTGACATGTCTGGAAAAAAAGGTTTTGTTTTTGGCACAAACACATCTGCTTTGTGAGCAGACTGGCTCCCAGTCCGCACAATATTGATGCTGGTTGTGGGTTGGGAACCAGTCTAATCCGCGAGAACATATATTATTGTCGGGCAGCCAGTTATTCAAAATTTGTAAGGTTATAATTCAACAGCTAAACTTGGGCAGATTTTTTTTTCAGTTGATGTCTCATTCAAAAGTGAATAACTTTTGTATTGCTAAAGAAACAGCAGTTTAGAAAAGACATGTTTTTCGGGGTGAAATTTGAGAAACATAATGGGGATTGCAACTTTAAGTACTTGGGAGTTACAGTACAGTACATTACAGTACGCCCTGTATATTATTCACATTATTTACTATGATATTACTTTCATAAATGTTTCAAAAATGATGTTTTAGTTTCAGCTGGTGCTAGATCTAAATGACAAACTTTTGCCTTTATTTATATTTTATTTTATTAGGCCCTATTTATGTTATTTAATTATTTGTCAACATTTGTATTGCCATACAAGAATTTTATTTGGGTTGATATGACAGAAAAACATGTGTACACTATCAACCAATTAAAATTAACCAACATTTGCCATACATTTAAATTTTAATCCTTTACATTTTTGTAGGGTTTTCCAGTTGATGTATGTAGCTACATGTATTCCACAGAAAAAAATGAATAAAAATCAGTAAAAAAAAACTTGATCCTTGTTACTCTCAAACAGAAAGGAAGTCTTTTTTCCCTTCAAATCTGACGTCTAACTGTGACAAGTACATTTCGGGGAAATACACAATGGACTGGCACTGAATGCTCCAAATATAGACTGAACTTTCTCTCCCCAGATGAATCGAGGAAGTTCTTCTGGCAACACAACAAACCTTCTGTTTAAACACCCCCCCCCCCAATAAAAAGGAAGAAAACAAAATCTGCTAAAACACTTTCAGGTGCTGTGCCCCTTTCTAAAATCCTTACTTTCTGTACATTGCACATGTAGCTGTGTTTTGGAGAGAAAAGGTTTAGAATTTCATTGGGGAGAACAAATTGCTATCTTCCGTACCAACAAATATGAAATTTCGTAAGGTGATACAATGTACATGTAGCCTTTGGGCAGCTTCTTTCTGTGCTATTTCATGCGTACGTGCTGGCCAAAGGCTATTTTTCTTGTCACTTTAATTTTTATTTTTCCAGCTCAATATGTTGGCCCTAAAATTAAAAAAACATCAATGGTTTGGAGTTTTTTGTTTAGGGGAAACAGTAAGAAATTGTCTGATTTCTGGATGAAAAAAAAAAAGAAAACAAAAAACGCTCCAAAAATGTCCAAGCGTACATTGTATAATATGTCACACAATAGGCCCTATCGTGAACCAAATGAATTATTACAATGTGTTTTGTGTTTTTAAAGGGAATATACATCATTTGCTTTTGCTGTAATTTTCAGAAATGGATGGAATTAGGGGGTTGGAAATATATAGCAACTATAGTTACACTGAATTTTTTAAGGTTTTGGGTTCGAAAATGCTATAAAAACCAAGAAAAACAATTATTTTCCTGTAGTCTGGTTCCCTGACTCCATATAAGAAGAAACAGAGCAGTTTACATACATTGGGGAATTGTAAGGTCAGGGAACCAGTCTAGCTGGCTTGTACCCGTTCATAGGTGTGTAATCGATTGCAAACAAGTGCGATGGTCAATTGGGGCCAGTATTTGAAAAAAAGCCAGTCTTTTCCAACGCTGGTCGGCCGACCAGCGTTGGAAATTGATACAAAAATACCACTTTTCTTGAAAATGACAGTATACCAGGTGCCAATATTTCACAGGATGCTTTACACTGTCATTCACTAACAGTCCAGCAAGGTATTTCAAAATGATTTGGTAGTTTTATTTTTTGATGTTTGCAAATGTTGTATTTTCCCTTTAAACCCACCATTGTGTCAGTATTTTTGGTAATGCTTTTTCACTTAATTATTACAAACCTTCTGAAACTGTAACTGAAATAGAATTACACAATTGTTTGTTATTTAAACAAAAATATTCGCATGTACTGAAATAATTGTAAAGATCATGATTATTGTTTCAAAAACGTTCATTTTTAACATTATACATATACAAGTATACAAGGATGTAATATCTTGTACTGAAACTAAATTGTGTCATTGTCTTTGCCTGGATCTAAAGTATACTATCAGGGCTGGTCCGAATGAATAGTATATCAAATATTTGAATATATAATATATTTGATTAAGTCTGCCACTTTGAATATATATATTCGAAAACAAAACAATTACATGTATGAACATACCGGTACACACACGACTGTGATGTTACTTTATCAAGTTGCGGCATTTTATTGTCAGTTGCCACTTTTTTGTTGACGGTAACTTTTTCGTCGATGGCGGTTCATTGTTTCTATCCTTTTAGCACTTTAACAGTAAACAGTTATAAAATACTTACTGCAAACATTTGTAACACTCCATATTGATCGCTGCATGCAAATTGTAACTGGCGTGCTCTGCATGCAACTTTTAAAAATATCCGAATATTTGGTCAAACAAAGTTTCGAGTAATGGGGGCGCATTGTTTCCATCCTTTTAGCAGATCATTAAAAGCCCTTGACAGCTACAAAATATTTACTTCACAACACTCCATATCGATCGCCGCATGCATATTTTAACTGGCGTGCTCTGCATGCAACTTTAGAATATCTGAATATTTGGTCTTTAGTTTGGAGTAATCAAATATTAAACTATTTGAAAATGGACAGCCCTATACCGATTAAAACTTACAACCTCATTTAATCATTATGATTGTCAGAGTGCTTAACAAAGGACGATTAAATGAAAACACTTTATGTCAGGACTGGAAATAAACACACTAAAACATGAATATGCTCTGCCCTGTACATGTCGTCACCGTTTTCACGAAGGAGCGAATTTCATGAAAATTGTCTGTTTTTCAAAATTTGGTTTTTGAATGAAACTGAATAAATATATCAATATCTACAACCTGGTGAGGCTATACTTTCAAAAAATTAATTAAAATCTTAATTAACCTAATTAACGAATGGGCGAATTTGCCAAAAGTGCCGTTGTGCGTTTTCACGAAGGGGCGAATTTCCGCACTCTATGGTATTAATAAATTTTCAGTAAATAAATACATTGTAATACAATGGCGCGTACATGTATATCACGAAGGGGCGAATTCCATGCGCGTGCAATAAAACGTTTTCACGAAGGAGCGAATTTCAAGGCGCATGCATAGTGGGGTAGAATCTGCGCGTACTGTACAAAAAATGCATTGACTCAGATCGCAGAAAGGCGAAATATGCGTGTAGTCACTTTAGCATTTTCACGAAGGGGCGAATTTGCTAATTGGTCTTAATTGATTAATTCTGCAAAACTAATCACCTATTTTTCTTAAAGTTTGCTATATTTAGGAAGATTAGAAGCTATTCTTTCTTCTGATACCTAAATCTTGCATATTTTATGCGTCTTTAAGTTTCAAATTGTCAAATGAAAAAAGGACCAACTTTAAACGCGATTATCTCGAATGTTTGTTCAGACAGTGAAATACTAAATTCGCCTCTTTGTGAAAACGGTGACGATGTGCTCACAAAAAAGGATGAACTTTTCACGGAATACATACATGTATTCTGTTTCAAACTAGTAACTGCAGCAGACAATGAGTGACATTACAATATCACAAATAACGTACATGTACACACACAATGCATACCGGTACATGTAGGTTCTTGGAAAAATAAATGTACAGTATGTACATGTACATGTAAATGTCCAATGTGCAACAAGTGTTTTGTATGGAATGAACAAACAAGGAAGTAAAATAAAATGAGTACAATTTGGTTATTGAACTGCGTTACATGTACATGTACATGTCTGTGAACTGGTACATCCACTGCACTGTCTAAATGTGTGTGTACGGTATACATTTTTAATTACAATGTAATGTAAGTGAGCATTTGTGACATTTTAAATGTGTACATGTTTTGCATACAGGAAAGGTGCACCTATGTCAGTTGTTGTTTCTAAAAGAGACCCTATTGTTAAAACTGAATTATAATGAACATGAACTTCTTACAATTTTGTGATTGAATGTTGCATGGCATTGTGGAGCCATTGGGGATGTGCTTGCAACCTGGGTGACTGAGCATTATTGAAAATATAAATTTACAAACCTGTATCCAATTGCAAACCAAAAAGTAAAAATGTAATTCAGCCCCACGGCAGATCCATAGCTCAGGGCAAGGGGGAGGGGTTAGCAGGCATGTGCTACATGTATTTCTGCACGATTTTACTAATTTTTTTTGGCCCAAGATGGCTTTAGACAGCTAGGGCTGTTCATCGGAACCGGGTACCCGAGTACCCGACCTTTAATATCAGGAACCGGTTCCAGATTATGGAATCGGGTACCTGCAACCAACTATATGAATTACTGAGTAACGTCTCGGACAATAACAAAAGAAAGGTTTCAAATGTCATTTGTGGAGGATTTTATAAACGAAAACCAGGCTACATGGGAAAACAAAACATCTTTCACATTAATGACGTTCGTGAAAGTTGCAATTTACACCGTCAAGTTGTAAAGCTCATTGTTCACACTTGTATAGATCTTGCGGTAGTGGTGCACCGATGTGGCCGTATTTGCCCACCGATGTGGCAGTATTATCGTGCAGACCTTTATGAACAATCCAAACAGCAACTTCTGAGATTTGAATTTCAGGTTGGGTTCCTTTCACGGTTCCCGGGTAACAGTGTTTCTTTCAATCGGGTACCCGGTTCCCGTCTACCCATAAATGCACACCCCTATAGACAGCCAACCCCATCTCCTACCCCTCCCCAAGCTTGGAAAATCATACAGAAGAATGCAGCACCTGCCTGCTAATCATCCACCTACCCCTGGCGCCAAAGCTGCATCTGCTCCTGGGCTGAATTGTACAAAGAAATTGTGCCCAAAGGGAGGGGAGGGGGGGGGGAGGGGGTGGTTAGACCACCTCACACCCTCCCAGCTGGGAGGCATGGCCCAACATGTAGACCTGTGCTGACGTGCTTGGGGTGTGGACTTAGGGATGGGGGTTTGGGGATAAGGGGCAAGCTCATGAAGTTCTTTGTGCCCAAAGGGAGGGAGGGGGAGGGGTGGTTAGACCACCTCACACCCTCCCAGCTGGGAGGCAGGGCCAACATGTAGGTGCTGACGTGCTTGGGGAGTGGATTTAGGGATGGGGGCTTGGGGATAAGGGGCCAGCTCATGAAGTTCTAGAGACGGCATGGATGGGGTTAGGGGATGGGGGTTGCAGCTGGGGAAGACGACTTGGAAATGGGGGAATGGAAATGGGTCCTGGTGCCTACCGTAGGGGGCTGGGTGAAGGTGCTGATGGACTGGGCTTTGGGGAGTTTGTGAGTTGGCTGGAAAGGTAGGGTCAGCGGAATGGTCATATCCCTGTGGTGCTGGGTTCCGGGTCTTGAAGCTGGAGGTTTAGCGGTCTTGGTGGATAGGGGATTGGGGCTGAGGCCACACAGGGCACTTGGAAATGGTGCTAGGACAAAGAAGGAAGTTGGGAGGAGGGGCAACCAGGCTGGACCTATACCCTGATGATTTGGCTTTGGGAATCTGCCGGATGAGTTTTGGTTTGCTGAAAAGGAGTCTTGGCTGAGACCTGGGAGAAGGAAGTGGGATTAAAGATGGCAGATAGATGACGAGAGGTTAAGGAATGCAGCATTTCAATGGAAGATTGGGGTGGAACATCTGGGCTGGGGTGGGAGATGGAGGATGGGGTGAGAGCTGGCCCAGCTGGGCGATGGAAGATAAAGGATGGAGGATTGGGGTGGGAGATGGAGGAAGGAAGATGGAGGAAGGAAGATGGAGGACGGAAAATGAGGATGGAAGATGGGGATGAAAGTTTGGGATGGAAAATAGGGGATAGAGGATAGGGGATGCAAGGTGGGGATGGAAGATGGGGATGGAAGATGGGGATGGAAGATGGGGGATGGAGGATGTGAGATTAAGGATGGAGGATGAGAGATCAGGGATTAAGGATCAGGGATGGGGGTGGAAGTTGGGAGACCGAGTAGGGGGATGGAGAATGGGGACAAAGGATAGGGGATGGAGGATAGGGGATGGGGGATGCGGGATGGAAGATGGGCTGTTGGCGATGGGTGAGGAATGGGGATGGAAGATGGGGGATGGAAGATGGGAGATGGAGGATGGGGTTGGAAATGGGGGATGGGGTTGGAAGATGGGAGATGGAGGATGGGGGATGCGGGATGGAAGATGGGCTGTTGGCGATGGATGTGGAAGGGGGATGGAAGATGGGAGATGGAGGATGGGGTTGGAAATGGGGGATGAAGTTGGAAGATGGGGGATGGAGGATTGGGCATGGAACATTTGGGGAGGTGGATGGAGGATTTGGGACGGAACATTGGTGATGGATGAGCAGGGATTGATGAAGGATAGAGGGTGGGAGATGGATGATCTGGATGGCAAATCAGGAATTGAAGATGAATTTAGATGTTGAATTAGAGGATAGTAATTGGAAACGGAGGATTCAGAACTTGAACATGGAGGGTGTTGAAGATACCGGTACAGTGTAGGTAACGATATTGGGTAAGAAGAGGGAGGGATGGAATTGGTTGAGATTTGGAGATTTGTGATGGGGTATGAAGATGGTGGATGGGGAATGGTGAACCGGGTCAGGGGCTTCGGGTGGAGGATGGGGGCTTGGGAAGAGAGACGAGGCTTGAGGGACTGGGGTGGTGGAATGGGGAGTTATGGAGCCTCGAGCTCTGGACCAACATGTACCGTTAGGTCTGGGTCCTAGAGGAGGATAAATGGTGGATAGTTGTTTGTACCTTCCTGGTTTGTTGATGTACGCATGCAACCTGTTCTTGACCTCATCGTACGTCATGAAGGACATGTAGCCCTTGTGGTTGACGGCCAGGCAGTTCCAGTTCCGCAGGATGGTGTTCCAGGGCTGGAAGAGCCGAGTGAAGACATCAAACTCAAAGTTGGAGACGTAGTCATTGCAGGTCAGGTCGATGGTTGTCTTGAGGGCGTAGGCCTCCAGACCTTTCTGGAAGCTGTGTACCTCATAGAGGCTCTGGCTGAAGGACTTCCAAGAAACGATGGTACTGGAAACAAAAGAAAAGACTTAATTATCTCACTATTGTTTATTAACTTTAAGTCTGTTACACATGATACGTGTATACATGGTATAGTACACGGTGCTCACCATATGGACACCACACAGCTTTTTGTAGAACTTTATACTCTAAATGAATAATAACAAATGACCACTTATACAGTGTAAAAATCCCAAAAATTAGATTGACGCACTATACGTATGATGGAATAATAGACGCACACAGTAGCAAGGTCATTTTGATTGAATTTTTTTTGGGTCGGGGGGGGGGGGGGGAGAGACATAAACAAGGGCTCATTGAGCGTCACTAGACCACTTTAAATAAGAGTGATGTGCACATGACACTTGCTGACAGATCATCAGTGCTGAAGGGTACACAGGGTTTTCTCACTGGTCAACCGGCCTCCGTAAATTCAAATTAGTAAGCTGGTAAGGGGTGGGCGGTTGCTCAAAGCGGACAATCATGGCCACTATCGGGAAATAGGTGGCGCCCTTCATGGCTGCACAACTGCTGACGTTTGTGTGACGTTGAACAACAAAAGGGGGTCAATCGCAACAAAAAGGGGGCACTTGCGACAAAAACGGGGGGTACTCACAACAAAAAGGGCACTCATGAAAATATGAGGGGGGGTGTTACAAATTGGAATAACTTTGCACCTACATGTACTAAAGCTAAACATATATGCACAAGCTGAACAGATTCTTATCAATTTATAGACACTTGTGCTATTTTATTGGACTCAGCCTGCCAAAAAAATGACCAAAGTTTATGCACCAAACACACACTCGTATCCTCCATAATAAAATGGCCCTCCATTTCCCATCCCATTTTTTGATTAATTCCATTTAAAAACAAAAAATCTATGCTTTTCATTCTTTCCATAAAAAAATGGTGGAAAATATAAGGGAAAAAACCCATTCCACTGTTTCATTCATCCCTGCCCTATTCATGATCATTTAAACACCAACTTAAACCAACCACCCAACCAACAAACAGATAAAACCCAAAGCTATGTAGGAATACAGGTACAGGTAAACTATGCCATACGCCCCGTCATTCATATTCCATCACTGTGGTCCATCAGTTCACTAAAAGTCAATTTGTACTGTGTACCAAACACTTGAGATTCACACTGAATCACAAACAACAGAGTTCAAGTAAAATCAGATTTAGGAGAGGTCCACTTTTCAACCCTAGCTTGTTTTTAAGGCAAAGACATTTATAATACACTCCAGCGTGCATACAAGTTTGTATATTTTGTTCAGGATCCGGGTTCAACTGCTTTCTAAAAGCAGGATGTAAAAAAAAACTAATCTGTTGATTTTACTTTGAGCTCATTTGATAATGCTGAATACGTGCTGTGAGAAAATTCTGCCATGATTTCCTGAAGTAAAAAGCCTGTTCAAAAATGGCAAACTCATTTTTTTAAACCAGATTTGCTTCCAAATTCAATCTCAAGTGCGCTGTCCTGAATATATTGAATACTTGAATATTCGATCATCAACCGTATTGAATAGCTTTTTGCCGGTTTGAATTTTCGAAAGCAAAAAGCCTCATCGTTCTCATCCTTTTAGCAGGTTGAAGCCCTTTACAGGGTACTTACTGGCACTGCAAAACACTCCAGCGCAACATTTTGATCGCAGCATGCAAAATTTAACGTGCGCGCTCTTCGTGCAACTTTTTACCGGCATAGCACGCAAGTTTGCAGTTGGCAGTATACAAATAATGAATATTCGGTCAAACGCAATATCGTGTAGTTCGAATATTATTCCAAAATGGACAGCCCTAATCTAAAGCGGGCCCGGAGAGTTGTAGTACAGTAATTTTGTCCTAGACTGAATTTCACATTTGAGTCCTGGGTAAAGTTGAGTGTACTTATCCATGCTTTGACACTTTGAACAGTAGGAAATTCATTTCAATTTTACATTACGATAAATAGTTTAGGTTTGAGAACACTCACACAATGGGATAGAAAGTGAAAAGCTACTTTCATGAATTTTCTGACAAAGGCAGGGAAAATGACATGTATGACTGGAGCGGAGCTTGAATGAACATGTAGCTGATGATCATGAACTCAATTTCCAGATGTAAAACCAAAAAACCCCCCCAAAAAACCCAGTAATTAGAAACTTTAACCCTACATTGTACATTTTTACTCCCTAGGGCATGTAGGGTGTGTGTAAAATCATATTAAATTAAATTCACTCCCTAGGGTGTGCGTAAATCTTACTAAAATTAACTCTCTCTACTAGGGTGTGCGTAAAATCATACTAAAATGGAGGATTCAGGACTGTTAGAGTGAAACACTACACTAGGCCTATACGTGTACAATGTATAATTTCCAAAGAGTTTTCTAGATTGGTTTTGGACAGGTACTGAAGGTAGGGTGTACATGTATTTGTTCAGTTTTGTTTTGAAAAAAAGAAAGAAAATATGAATACATATATGTATGTAGGCTCATAAAAAGAACTTTGGTGATCCTTGATGGTGAGCCCTACAACAAAAATGTACAATGTATAGCATTTTGTGTACTAGTTACAACATGTTTCATGTACACCTGATAAGTGAACATAAGGCCAAAAAAAAAATAGTTCTGCTTCTGATAACATGGCATTCGAAAATTGGGTAGGAAGGTAGGGGATTTTTTTTTTGGCAATATTTTTTGTGTACGATCATATGGAGGCTTCTGCGAGTAGTCAAGGGTAAAAGGTAGAAATTGATGGTTTTGGTTGTTATTTTCTCATTTTTCAAATAAAAAAATTAGGGTAGGGGCTGTCAGAATAGGGTAGGTAGGGAAACCGGAAGCAGAACTATTTTTTTTGTGCCTAAGATTGAACACTTGTAAATTTACATACAGTGTTTCCGGAATTCTGATATGATGGCCTCATACCGGTATGATGGCCTAATGGTACACAATTCAGGGAAAGCAGTGATTGGTTCAGGAAACAAGTTTCCTAACTTTCTAAATTATGTACACTCTAAAACCTTGTGGTGTTGGAATTGAACACATCACTGTTTAAATCTTACACTAGAAATACGTACAGTGTAAAAACTACATGTATATCAACTACACTGAACACACCCATACATCTATTCCTACCTCCATGGTACAATGCACACGACCTTGCTTACAACATGGTAGTACAACATGGTAGTAAGCACACAACCTGGCTTACAACAAATTGTGATCGGAGGGGCCAAGGCCCTTGCCTCAAGTGGAATTTAAAAAATTGTGAGGATGAGGGTGGTAGGAAAACAGAAGTTGGACAAAATTTAATAAATTACATCAACGTCAACACTCAACAATATAATAAGCAGCTAACAAGACTGCGGTTTATATCACTAACAGACATGACAGAATACAGAACATCAACCTACATTTGACATACGAATGGCCTACAATGTACATTAATGAGATGGAAAAATAATTCGCTCTAAAAGCTACAATCAGTATGTTTACATACATTGTATAATGTACATGTTAAATAATGAAGTAAATCAGGCAGATATGATAAACGAATCATGTTTGACTACAAATGCAAACATTACAAAACTAGAAAAGTTTTATTTTATACAGTACATGTATAAGAAAATTGCAAGAACTATAGGTAAAAGAAATATCATAAAATTGAAAGACAAGTTAAGAAGATTCAAATTAATTAATTAAACTGATCACATTGACCCTCTGTCTTTCTGCTTCACTACTGACTGATGTGTACTATACTGTATACAGCACTTGAAAAAAAAAGCTGAATTCTTGAAAACTTGAATTCAAGACAGACTCATCAACCCTGTCAGTCCCATAATTACAGTTCATTACCAACATAGGCTAATTATTACTAACATTATGATTTTAACAAGTGTGTAGTAATTGTATTTTTTATTAAAATTACCCCATCCATCCACCACATTTCACCCCCAATTTCGTGCTGACATCTCATTTCCGGGAGTTGAGTCCACTTGACGTGTCGGCACAAAAGGTGACAAAACACGAAAATCGTCATCAATGTCACCCACGAATGAACATGGTCAAACTCAACGAAATGTGCCTTTGGTAAGTGTATTTTTTCGGGTAGTTTTTGGGTGGCTTTTCTTACCTTGTTCCGAAGTTTTTCTTCCAGTACTTGGCGGCGTCTTGTTTTGTGAGGCGGAAAGATTCCCCGGAGAAGACCCCGTTGGGAAAGATGGCTTTCAACTCGGCCAGATTGTGGCTGAAAATCAACGAGAGCCGATTCAACTCCCGCCTGCCGGCCGAATTTTCGTCGTACATTTTCTCCTTGTGGACCTTGAAGAGTTGAACGGTCTGCCGGGCTTTCTTCATGATGTTGTCCACGAAGATACGAAAATAGACGTTGTCGTTCAGTTCGTGGAGTTTCTCCGGATCGCCTTCGTACTTGGACCACACCAGCCGCAGCTGGTGGTAGGTCTCGGGCAAAATGTCCAAAATGTACGGCGGACTGTTTTTCAGTTTCATCTTGTTGTGCTGGCAGAGCCGCATCACTTTCTCCATCAGTTTCCATGTCTTTTCCAGGGTCTTTCTGTCCACTGCTGGTCGAGGGGCGGTCATCATCTCCGCCACTTTCGAGAAAAACCCCGGCTTTCGCCCACCAGGTTGGGCCATTTTGACGGTAAATCTCAAACTCCAACTGCTCTTCGCTCAGGTTTTTAGCTGCTCTCGCTTCCGCATAATTTTTGCACTGTGGATATAGCTTACCACAGATACCGATAGTTTAATAAATGTCCGTACCCAGAATCCTTTGCAGAACAGAAATGAAGACCCTTAAAAATAAAATTGGGCATCGTTTTCACAGCTAAAAAATAATAAAGGACAAACATTAACCATTTAAAGTTCAGAAATTTTATAAAACTGTCAATTGAAAAAATTAAACCTATCTAAAAAATAGAGTTTTTGTGTGACTTTCAGCAATGTTTTGATTGCCAGCGAGTAAGATCACTTCCGGTACACGAACACGTCACCGAGCAATATGGCGGAGTGCGAAAACGAAGATAACAGTTGGTGAGTTAAAAAACGATCAAAATTTCCCTTTTGGCTGCGGTCAATCAAACGAAAATGTAGGAGGTGTAATTTGTGGTGGGGTTGCCCCACTTGAGTATTTCGCATTAAGATAAGTAGCTTGCAATTTTGCAAAATATGGCTTTGTTTTTAACGTAAAGTGGGCTTGGCAGACGTTCGTACTCGTAATGCAGTCGCCCCCAATATACGCGTGTCTTCATAGCGACTCACCATGTCGCCCCTGGATTATTAAACCATTGTGGATTTGTGAATTACATAGTGACCTTAACTGAAGTTGTAACTTTAACGGGCAGACTGCAGTTTCCATACGCCACTTTTTTCACTATGCATAAAACTAGAACCTTCTTAATGTTAATCATGCATGCCACTGCCAGCAAATATTATTATTGGGCATGTTGGGGGGGGGGGGGGGCATGGCCATGGGGGGAACATAAGTTTGGGTCTGAAAAATAGGGGGAAAAAATTTAAAAAAATATTCATAAAATTTCAACACTCCCGAACTGGACGATTTAACAGATTTTGTATGAAACCACCAAACATGCCAAAGTGGCATTTGGGCTCGGGATGTTCAGGTGCTGCATTCTTCCCATCGCTTTTCCAACATGTTCAGTGTGGTCCAACATTTCGACCCTTTGATTTTCCCTATTATTATGGCCTATGCTAAAGGCGCATGCAAATACTGAGGTACATGTATGTGTGTTCGCACATGCCTTCACACACATAATAAAGAAAGAAATTTGGGCTGTGCTTTTATAATTACTTAGCAAAAATCAGCTTGGCCTGCTGTTTGTGTTCATGCATGTTGTGGTAAAAGCTGCAGAATTAATACAGAGGAAGTGCTGAGCTACTCTATGGAATATCCACTTGCACACAAGCGCCTATGATGTATGTATGTACAATGTACGTGTTCATGTCCAGCGATTAACTATGCAAAACAACACCACGTCTTGACCGGTAACTGCTGTTGTAAAAACATGGCAGCAAATTGACTAATCATTAAATTGACTAATCAATCAAATTACAGAATTTTACCGTCTGCTGGTTTATTTTGTACGCAGGCATGCAGAACTAGAGGCAGCCCTGCTGGAGGGATGTGACTTCGGGACGTTGAGAAACATCTGCCAAGGGCGACAGATTCCCAATCAGTACAGTACAACAAGTTGGAAGGTACATGCTCTAAACATTTGCGAGTGTAATGTGTACTGTATGTACACCACTTTGAATGGTTATCCAAAAATGTCTTGAAAAAATTAAAACAATTTAAACATTTCAATGGATTCTGATCCCTTACCTCTGTAGATATGTTTAAATGTGGCGGGCAAAGGTGATGCTCTATCCTCCTTCGATGGCATCTTTGATTTGCCGGAGCAAGAACTTCTCAGAAAAGACTGCAAGGAATTTATTGGTGAGTTTGTCATGGTCTTGTTCAAAAATTGCTTTGATGTGGTTTGAGGATATTTGTGTTAAACGTGAGAGTGATCTCAAAGTGGCCTTCTCCCTGATTGTTTACGATTCCACAAACCCTAACCGTCCCAAATCCTCCAAAATCCTCTTTGCATAACGGAAGATTTCGAAGGATTGAGGCCTCATGAATGCTTAGCTGATTTTGGAGGATGCATCATGTCGAGGTCTTAGGCTGAACCGTGGGTTGTTTACGCTTTGCCATGCATAAATTTAGGTCTAGATAATACTTGAAATCATCCATACTGCTCCTGGACATGCAGCACCTCCTCAACGTATTAACAGTGATTGTTGAAGATTTTGAAGATTTGAGGCTGTACCAATATTTGCATGAAGGCAGTCGGGGGGGATTATGCAGGATTGAGGATGCATCCTTGCAAAAAGGCCTGGGGTATTAGTGCTATATCACATACAGTAAATGCAGACCACAATTTTTTTAGAGTTAAGTGGTATATGTAGCAATGTAGTGTAATCCCTGCAGTTAATGTTATTTTCTGCTGAACCATAAACTAAACCAGCCTGTTGTTTTCTGACTTACCAATCACCGAGTCACCGAAGATACAAATTTACATAATGTCCTAATTGAAGACTTTCCAGTTAAGCTATATTTTTTTATGTACAGTGTAGGCAAAGCTTACCTTATTTTTTCAAGCTCACACTGTCTGAATAACCACAAAGAGTAAATATGTGTCTCATTCTTTTTTTTTTCTTATACTCTCTCAGAAAAGTTTGACAACTCAGATGAAGAGAAGCTGTCCTTGTCCAGCGACTTGGAATCAGTTATCACATTTTACTGCAAGTCCAAGAATGCTAAATACGAGCACAACAATGGCTGGCTGGACGTATTGGGACCCCTGGTGGCGCTTCGCATGGAGCGCGCTGACCTGTACAACTGCTTCTATGCTGTTATGAGTAAATATGTACCCAAGTACGTTCCCAATTGTCCATGTATCTCCCCAATACACCATGCCTACAATGTAGTACTGATATGGTCTCGCGAGACTATGAGCAGTTACCCTGCTAAATGCAACAAGAAACAACAGAGCACGGGTCTTGAGTTGGCTGCTAAATGCAACAGTATGCAACATCCTTTTACTTTTGTTGCTTTCTGTTGCATTTAGCAGGGTTAGGGTTATAGACCATATCTGAAAACTTGACTTAGTCTCAAACTCAAGCTTCATTTCTGGTTCCAAAACTATTTTGAACCAAATTAAAAGACTCCTGAACATACGTGCCACACCAAAAGAGAGCAATATATGTGGGGTTTCCAGAACCTTTCCCTGCTTATCCGCTAATATTTCCCTGAGAACTTCCATGAGAATTACGTTCACTTTAAAGTGGTTACTGGGAAGTCAAGAGGTGGTTGCGGCAAAGCAACTAAGATACTGATAATATTCATAATGCATAAACACTTAATAAAAGCCACCATAGCCAGTCAGTCAGTAGACACAACTGGGACACAACTTAGGTGAAAAAAAATGCCACCAGATTCACATACACCAAACTGGCAAAAACCTTTCCCTTCTAGGTCAATGTCAAATTCCCTGAGATTTCCCAGATTTTAGGTGTTTCTTGAAAAAGGAAACTCATTTTCAAGGTTTTCCTTGATTTCCAGAGTGACTGGGAACCCTTTGTGCTTAGAACAAGGTTCAATTTCAAGTTGAATTTTCAAAACTGTTCAAAAAAATTGGAAATGCTCCAAACATTTCTAGCCTGATTAAGTTTGTCTTCTCCCCGCGTCATGCAGAGACAGCAGTAAAGACAGTAAGATGTACCAACTCTTCAGGCTACTCCTCATGTACCATGAACCGCAACTCTGTAACTTCCTCGACACCAAAAAGATATTCCCTGATGCCTACACGTCAGTATGGGTAAGATGGAGGAAGTTCTTACCTGTATGCACTCTGTAAGGTGTGGCCTTCCTGTAAAAAAAAATGCATGCAAACTGTACTTGGGCTGACTTGAGAGCATTTTGTGGGACATACATACAAAGTAATGCACCTGCCAACTTGGCATTTTAGCCCTGTGCAGCAAACTTGCTTTCACTGGTATCTGTCAAGTCTTGCATACTCTTATGAATGCACGTTATGAGAAACACTGCATTCATAGGCATGGTACTTCTTTATCCAGACAGTGCATACATAGCTTATACCATCTTGCACATTTAACAAATCCAGTTGTATTCATGTACAATGAAGCCATCTCCATAATACCACATCTTGGAAGGAAAAATCGTTTGTCCTTGCAATTACAAATGTAAGCGAATGTGTAGTGTTACACGGTATGCATGCTTACGTTGTATGCGACAAACTAAAATATTAACCCTAAATGCCTAGGGTGATTTACATTGTAAATCACCCTAGGCATTTAGGGTTAATATTTTTACAACAAACCTTCCCCACCCTTGTAAATTCCAACACCTTGAGGTAAACAATACACATAAACAGTTTGACTCTGTTTATTTGTGGTACATTTCTAAACCCATGTAAAGCATAATCACTTTACTAGTGCAGTACTCATCCTAACAGATTCCAACAAACCCTGGTGTTGGAGTTAAACTGGATGGGGATTGTTAGGGTTAATGTTGTCTGCGGTATGCAATAGGATTGTACTTACCATCTTTAAGGGTTCATCTGAATTTTGCAGAATCTTGTTAAATTGAGCATGATTATAGGGTTAATACAAACACTATGAGTGTTTGACTACAAGGTTACCAAATAAAAAAAACCTGACAAAAGATTGAATCTTAAAATGGCACTTATCACCATTTTTGTCTTTTTTCTTCCCTAGTTTTCTAGTTTATTTGCCAGCAATTGTTCCCTGGAGGTCCTGCAGATCATGTGGAGTCTGTACTTCCTCCAAGCCGATGCATTCCTCTCATTCTTCCTTGGTCTGATCATCCTAGTCAATGCCAAGTAAGTGTAAGGATGTGCTGACTGCTGGATATTCAAGTATTCATATATTGATCAGTTCAACCAACAATTAAGTATTCTACCCAATTTGAAAATGTTCATTTCAAACAAAATGTGGTTAAATAATATGAAAGAAGTTACGTATGTTCATGCTTGTCTCATTTTTCATGAGGTAAAGTTTTGTTTATTCACTAGATGCTGTTTATAGCAGCAGTAGTTTACAATGTGAGAAGCTGTTAAACATGTTTAACCCTAAAAGGGCCGGGGGGGGGGGGCCCTCAAAATTTTCCGCGGTAGCCTCAAAAAAATTTTTTTTCGTGACCGGAGCTGTTATGACTTTTTAGCCTCGAGCTTTGCGCATCTTTTGATACCAATAACATAAAAATCGGACCACGGGTTGCCGCGTAGCGAACATTTTTCCGGCGCTATGCGCCATGAAAACTGAATTTTCCGATATACGTCATGTACTCGGAGCAGAATTGCCATTTGTACATATGAATAATTTATTACCCATAATTCCAAAACCCTTTGACCTATATTCATGAAATTTCTTGGGTATGTTAAGGAAGAGTTGCTCTATGCATGTAAAGAGTTTCAAAATTGTTCGTCAATCGATGGCCGAGATCTTAGGGGGGGGGGGCGGTAGTAGAAGAAGTATTTTGTTCTTTCTTATAACTACATGTGTAGCTGTCATTGCTTTGTTGACCCCAAATCCGCCACTTTCAATTCCCCAGGGAGCATATCCTGACGGAACTAGAAAACGAAAGCAGAGACACCATCGCAGAGACCCTAGCCACCTTCCCCAACCAACTAGAAGCTGATGATGTGGAAGACTTCTTTAGCTTGGCCCAGTATTATGCCTCCAAGACACCCCAGTCATTTAGAAGAGTAAGAGGATAATTTTATCCCATCAACCCGTAATCAGTGGCGCTTTTCAGGATTTTCAAACCTTAATTGTTGAAGGATTGAATGTGCCATGAGGCATTATGTATATAAACATTGACAGTGGGAGGGAGGGGGTGACACCCCAGTCATTTAGAAGAGTAAGCATCAACAAATGTACACGTATTCAAGGAATTAATCCCCTAAAAAATCCAGAATTCTCACAATCCATTTCTGCATATTAATGTACGGGGCATCAAGCCCGAGTCAGGCCCTGTACATTCTAAACCATAAAAAACTGTTTTACAGTATTTTTCACTTTTTTATAATAGAACTTTGACATAGATAAAACAAAGATGTTTTATCTAACCATTTTGTCAGTTTATGTTTTGGAGGTTACGTTGTGTGCGTTATTGCAATGTGTTGTGCTGGTTATGTATTCCTAGTTTGTTATATACCATGTATTTTAGTCAATCAGAATAATTTAATCATGAGAAGTATGTTTTGCCTTTCCCATCAGGATTATCAGTCTATTTATGGTAGCAGCTTAAGTAATTCCAAAGACTCGGTCAGTCCTGACCTGTCTGGCGCCCTCTGTCTTCAGGTCAACCCATCAGAGTTGTTACAAGCAATCCAACAGGGCCTGGTGAGTGTGAAGTTTTGTGCCCTTCAGATGTTGTTAAAACCTATCCTTGAAAATATGTGCACTTAATATTACACAAAACTACATGTAACCACATGTAGAACTGCAACCAGTTCTGGCCTGTTTTTAGTACAGTGTACATGTACAGTATATGCAAAAAGTGGTGGGACTGGTACAAGGTTTATGTAAATGCTTCAGAAAAACTGAAAATATTGTGCATCTTATACTTGCTCTTTGCAAGAACTAGTTTCATCCGGTTTTTACAACCTAATGACATATTCCATTTTTGACTGTGGAAAGTGAATTACTGCATAGAATGCCCTATTTGAAACACAGCACATTCCTAATGGAATAGGTAGTGTTCCTACTTCCTCCTATGTTTCCCTCTAAGAAAAGCTGTTTTGTTACAAATTACACTTGCATAGGCAGACATTTAGAAAACCTCGCATTCCCATGTTGTTATTTGGGGAAACAGCAAATGCTCCCTAGTAGAAATGGTGTTTTTTCCGAGTGGAGTGTTCTAATGATCCTCGACTAAATGCACTATCCTACTTACCTCGCAATGTGACTATTTTCTTTGCATTTCCCTCTTACCTGCAGAATGAGAGTGTAAGTTATTTTGTCGTTGACTGTCGACCAGCTGAACAGTATAACAGATGCCACCTTGCCACAGCATTCCACCTTGATGCCGACCTGGTGAGTCGCCCTGAAAAAAAAAAAAGGCCGGGAGAGTCGGGTTTGTTTCAAACTCTAGAAGCCCAATACTGCTTCTGAAAAAAAAGTTTCATATTGATTGAAATGTGAAAGGTTCTCAGAACACTTACCACTCAAAAGAGATCTTTTCACAGTGTTACTGCAACTCTTCCTGAGTTTCTTCTTATCCATGTAAGCTTCTGATCTTATGCTGTTCATTAATTATTAATTATGCGCTGTGGTCCAATGGTAACGGTGTTGACTCATGTGTGATGGGACAGGGAACATGGTGATTGTGTTCTTGGGCAAGACACTTTACTAGGAGTGCCTCTTTCCACCCAAGAGTATAAAGGGGTGCCTGTGAGGGTAGAGACCAGATTGCACTGATCTTGAGCTTCTGCAGAAAACTGGTCTCATGACACAAGGAACAGGGGTAATATTGTGAAGCACTTTGAAACTGGGGTATAAAGTGGTACATGTATGTGATCACCATATTATTATTGTTGATAATTATATTATACTTCTTGACTTGCTGATTGGGCTGGTTCCTGTCTTAATTTAGGCATGAGCTGTATACAGTTGCTTGAGCCCATATTCATAAGTCAATTGTTGCTAACAACCACCACCATTTTGTGGGATCATGTATTTGTTTGTGTGTGTTAGGCCAAAAAAAAAAATATTCGGTCTCTGGTCAGATCAAAGTTCCGGAATTGACGCGGCTACGCGGCTTTTTTTTTTTTTCTTCAAGCTTGGATTGTACAGACAAGGTGGTGTCCTCATGTACATTGGTGTCCTCCATAATTTGCCTTGGTGCTTTCGATAATTTGCCTTGGTGCAATTTCCCATTCCTTGGTGCACTTTGGTAAAAAAAATTGAGGTGCGGAAATGCGCTGTTGGAGCTACCGCGGAACATTTTGGAAAAAAAAAAAAGATCGACGCGCATGATTAAAATTGACGCGCGCGCTGACCAGAGACCGACTTATTTTTTTTTTTTGGCCTTAAGGTACTTATTCAAAAACAGACATTTTCAAAGACAACTGTATGTTACGCATGATACATGTAACACAACATGTTACATGTATGTAACGTCTGATGAAAAGCTGTAAGCCCATATTTTGTTGTTTTTCTTCAGATGTTGCAACAGCCCACAGAGTTTGCCAGCGCCGTCAAAGCCTTATTCACCACCCAGAGGCAGGCCATAGCAGCCGAGTCCAGGGCGGCCGGTGAACATCTCTGCTTCCTGGGTAGTGGGAGAGAAGAGGAGGACCAATATCTACACATGGTGGTTGCCAACTTCTTACAGGTGAGCCACGTGTATGAAATGAGCAGTGTTGGAATCGAGTTGGTCTCGAGTCATTCACAATTCAAAACCAGAAGTCAATCACAAGCAACAGGGAATGAACAGTGACAAATAAATGTCTCTTTTACAGCTGGTTGGAATGGCTTGTGACATACATGTATTAAATTTGAGACTGGGTGACTTGTTATGACTTGTGGTGACTTGTGATGACTTTAAACATGGTGACCTGTGATGACTTATGGTGACTTGTGACCGACTTGTGATGACTTATGGTGACTTGTGACCGACTTGTGATGACTTATGGTGACTTGTGACCGACTTGTGATGACGTATGGTGACTTGTGATGACTTACATGTGTTGTATAAAACAAATCATGAATGTTTCACACTTGGAGTGGAACATTCCATCTGTAACCTAATGAAATTATTCTTACCATTGCACTCATAAATATTCATGATTTGTATAATATCACAGTTTGACATGATGGTGGGCAATATGTGTGCAGAAAAGGAGATAGTTCTACAAGTGAATAATTGATTTCGATTGTGCAACATTTGTTGAAGGGGCTTTTAAAAACTCAAATGCAGCTCTAGCAGTTTGGCTGCTTCCGACTCATTTCATAATTCGTATGGTAGGGTAACATACTGCTTTACTCCTCTCTGGTGGTGATACCAAGCTTTCCTTGGTTCTTGTTTCTTGGTTGGTTCTTCTCCTGAATACTCCGTGGGGGAGTTTATACAGGAGGCCAGAAACACCAGGGCAAACCCCTTCTCTTTAGTGATTAGTGTCACTGGGTTCTTTTACGTGCATTGCATTACACAACACACGGGACCTACGGCTTTACGTCCCATCCGAAGGACGAAGCAATTATGGTTAAGTGCCTTGCTTAAGGGCACAAGTGTCCACACGGCGGGCTTAAACCCATGCCACTGTTGCCTCTGAATCACCAGAGCATGACATTCCTCGGACATAGGCATTATACCTTTGAAGCTTGATGTAACCTGGAATGAGAAGACAACAATGAATGTTTAGTTTCAAAGGTGGGAAAGAAATTCCTTTAATGGAAAGTCCATTTCAGATATAAGCCAGCGATTTATGTCTCACTCAAATTTATATCATTCTTATTGTGGCCGTTTTCCCCCTTTTTTCCTGCAGAAAAAGACGCAGTATGTTAGTATTGTCGCCGGTGGTTTTACTGGTAAGAAAAGCATCCCATGAGCAAAATGCATCTGTTTTTAACTTTGTAAAAATTCTGGACCAGTAGGCCGACACCTTTGCTCAGATTGTGTGAACAGTTATTAGTTTTTACCATAAAAGTCAAAAACAACAGACTATCAGATGGAAAAAAGTTTGTTTGGTGTCTTTTTTCCCCTCCATATTTTGGCTGTTTGTTTGGGGTACAAAAGTGCAACCCTCAGGCCCGTTCTAGATGCCGTGCTACCGCCGCGCCAAACTTAATTAAACTGAGTGCGGCAATAGCTTGTGTACAGCACGGTAGTTGCTCTAAACATCAAACGTAATAGTCAAACCTTAATTAATGCAGCTGGAGTAATGGGCCAGGTTAAAACAGTTAAATGAACTTTCAGGATGATCAAAATTTTCTCGTCAATTTCACTTTCCGTGATACAGACACAAGAGAGGGTATTGTGAGCATGCACATTCCTAGAATGTTTGCCCCAACTTCGAATTGAATTGAGTTTGGCACGGCAATGGCACGGCCTTTAGAACAGTGCTGTGCCACTGCCATTCGGAGCGACAATAGCACGGCAGCCCTGTCGCCCTGAAGGGCGATGCCCTGCCGAACTCAATTTTCTGAGCCAAAATGGTTCTAAGCGCCATGTTATCGCTGTGCCAAATTCATAAAAGGCAAATCAATTGAGTTGGGCATGGCAGTAACATGGCGTCTAGAATGGCCCAGCTCACTCTGCAGTTTGTGTAATAATAAAAAAAACTTTGGGGCCTAAGGCCCAGTGAAAAAGTAAAAGTGGTTAAGCCCTACCCTCGCAATCCTAGTGGTGTTCATTGGAACGTGACTAATATCAGCAACTGGTTCCAGGTTATGGAATCTGGTACCCATAACCAACTGTACAAGTACTTTAGTAACTTCTCAGACAATGAAAAAGAAAGGTCTTGATTGCCATTTATGGGATACAAGGAAAACCAAAACAGATTTCACATTTATGTACATTAACGTGCTACAATGATACTCGCTATCAATCTCTTTGGACAACTTCTGGAATTTTCATTCTGGTGTTGGGTTTCTTTTACGCGTACCGTGTTTAATTCAGTAGGGTACGCAGTTCCCATACTACCCGTAAATTTGCACCACTACAAAATCCTGCAAAATCATTCAAAATGTCTCAGTAGACATTAAAGTTTCTGGGAAGGTCAATGATTACAAGCAGTTCAATCCGTCTAGATATATCTCCTGTTGTTCATTCCTGTTTTGAAAATATACATGTAATTGTTTTTATTCTTCAGCATTGTTAAAATTAATAGAGAAGGAGACATCATCAACGTCAGCTGACCAGTCGTTAAAGTCTTGCATCATATCCCTGCCAGAGCTAGCAGGCTCTGATGATAGCGGGGTAAGTAGAGTTTGATGTCAGAGTATTGGACTGTAGGGGGCATTGTGTGATCTATTTGATCGATTGCATGCACAACTATAAACTGCAACAAAAGCAAGGCGGCACTTACTATGTGGCATGCCTTTTCCATTGCAAATCCGGTTCGTAAGTGTGACGTCATTTCAACCTAAACCACTCCCACAGCAAACGGAGTGGTAATGGAACCATTGGAACCAGAAGAAGTGCAAAGTGGAGTGTTTTAATGAGCGCTAGTAATCAGTGGTCACTTGCGAACGGGATAGAAAAACAGAAATTAAACCTGGAGTTTAACAGTGTGAGTTGCCCTGTATTTGTTGTTGCATGTACATTTACAACTATCATTAGATCTAGCATGTAGCTGTTTGTAATTCCTGTATTAAATGGCGGGCTTTCCCTGCCTCTCAAAGGTGATAATGTGTACTCTTTCTTGCTGCATGTTGCTATTTTTGCAGTGAACCATAGCTACATGTACCACAGATCCTCTACACAAGGATAAACAACTTCCCCAAATTTCTGGTTAGATGCGTGACACGGCACTTGCGCGTCCTGCGTGCACATGCTCAAGACTCGGCACGCGACTGCAGTCTTTCAGTGGTCAAATTTCTGTCAGGACGCCAGCTGTTGGCAATCATGGCGCGCGCGCATTTTTCTACATGTTCTATTTGTTGTTCTAAGCGCGGACGTGGCAAATCACGTATGTATAGACCATCCGTTCCGTACATTTTGTACACAAGCTCAGATGAGTCGTTTTCCCTTGTGTAGAGAATCCGTGTATGTATTAAGTTTCATAAAAATGCTTACATAGTAGTTCTCTGAATCAAGTCTTTGCTGGTTTGGGTTTTTCCTTCAACTTCCCAAATGAAAAGGCTCACTTGGTCACTTTATCAAGGCTTTCATGTCATTTTCTGGGCACACAACTTTCTACTAACAGAACCCTCACCTATTTCTAGGACATCATATAATCATGCCGAGTTTAGCGGCACAATTGGCTATTAACCCTAACTCCCTAGGCATTCCTGCAAAATCCTCCAACTGCCTCCATGTAAAAATTGCATACAGCCTCAATCCTGCAAAATCCTGCGTTGTTTCTTGAATGTGGTCCTTGGAAGGATGACCACTGCCTCAATCCTGCAAAATCCTCCGGCAATCACTGTCAGTATGTTGAGGCAGAGCCAGGGACATCCTGGAGCAGTGCGGAGAAGTATAATCTAGGCCTAAATGTATGCATGGCTGAGCATAAACAAGACAAGGTCCGGCCTAAGACTATGCCACAGTGCATCCTCCAAAATCAGCCACACATTTTTACCATATAGCCTCAATCCTGCAAAAGCCTCCATTTTGCAATGAGGATTTGGGAAGGTCAGGGTTAATAGAATGATGCAAATGAATTTTCTCGAATCTGTGAAATGCGCAAGTGTCTACTGTGAATGCATCAACAGTGAGCAGTTTCTGTTGTTATTCAGAACGAACTTAAGCATTATTCTTCTCCCCTTCTTTGCACCCGTGGTCATACCTATTGGAGCAGGACATGTTTTCTTTTCCACTTTTGCTAAATGGGTTGTGGTACCTTGTTTGTCAGTCTGTCTGTCTGTTTCAGCTGTTGGTTGGTCTGCCTGTCCTTTTTCTCTCACTGCATGTTTAGTTCTAGTACATGTCTCTCTCTTTCTGTCGTCTTGATTGTAGATTGGTGATTCTCCCCAGAAACTCTCAGAGAAGGGAGCAGCACTGATGGGCCGACTCACCTCCACGTTCAAGACAAAGTCAGCAGAGATGAAGGACCGAATGGTGGAGTTCATTAAAAACGAGGCTGTCAGTGAAGAAAGGTTAGAAATAAAAAAAAAAAATTATTTAAAGAGCGCCCTCAGCCGATCATGCTCTGAGCCCATAAGGTGATGTAGGTTCTCAATTCTGAAGGTTTCAAGGCAAACAAATGGTACAGGAAATGGTACCGTAGAAGACATCCCCATAGGGTTGTGCACAATTTTCCCCCAACTTTAAAGACCCCTAACCCCAATTTTTCCCTTTTCCTTTACTCGCAAACTGTTGGTTTATTTGTTTTGGACCAAGAGCAATTGATCTAATCTATTTGCGATAGCAACATTTGTGATGCGATCAAGCTACATGAGTCGTTTGTCGACCCTGTTCAGAAAAAAAATTGTACATGTATTACAGATTTGAACAGAGCACAATCTCAGCATTACTGCTATGAAAACCACATACTGATACCATCTTTAGTTCAAAAATTATGGAAGTCGGAACACCAAGAGATGTGATGAAGTGATGTGATGAAGTGGCCCTATTTTGGCCTGTATCTCCAAATGAAAATTCCCGACAAACGACTCATTTAGCTTGATCGCATCACATTTTGCCTCTAAATAGGTGTTATGACATTAGGGATACATTGAAATGTCTTCCTAATGTCCGGTGTTCACCTAAGGTATAACTTATAACGAACAAAATGTCTCCTTAAGGGTACATTAACAGGAATACAGTTTACCAATGAAAAATATCATGTGCATAATGAGGTACATTGGTCCCTTGGTCTGGGGCGTCAAATTCAAGCACATGTGGGTAATTCTGCATATTGTTGGTTTGAGTCGGCCTGTGGGGTAGTCGATGTAATAGCCCACAGCGAATGCAGATTTTCTGATTAATTAGGCAAGGCCCCGTCTCTTGACTTCCTAGATTTTGACCAATCAGCAGGCGCTTTCTAAAGGTCTATCGGGTCTTCGGTCATTCACCCGTTGCCCGTCAGACATGGATTTTACCAAAAATGTCACGGCGCGCGGCACTCGGTATGATGTTACGCGAATGCGCTCCCGGCTGTTGTTGTATTACAAAACGCTGCATTCGAATTTACCAATCACAGCGTTAGTCCTGACTTTGGGATGAAATGACGTCACGATTTAGTAAAGTCGACTCCGACTGGCTGGCGCGCGGCTTGCATAAATCTGCATGCTTTTGACTTATCAGACGTTAGACAGGAGATGGCTCTGTGGATAATGGGTGATACTCGGACTACCTGTGGGGTTGTGGTGCATGTGTCCTTGGGCAAGACACTCGATTAGCGCCTGCAAGGCTGCGAGTGAAGAAGGGACAGCAAAACAAAAGGCTTATCGATGTGTTGTTGATTTTAATTTTTCAGACATGTTAGTAGTCTGGACACAGGGAAGAGATACAGGGGCAACAAGGTGCAGAACGTGTTTAGCATCGGGGATGAAGACGATGAAGCAGGTCAGGCTCATTTGCATATCATTTACATATTATATCACTGATAAAGTGCAAAGTGGGTGACACACCTGCAAAGTGGACGACGGGCAGTTAAACCTCCTCCCCCTTGTAGTGAGCTAGTCAAAACCTCATTTACAAAATGCATTACAAATCAAGAGGTTGTGGATTCCAGTTTTTTTCTCCCCACATTTTGGAAATTTAAAGCACTAACCATGCAGTGCTTACATTTATATAAATTATGCTTGTTGGTGAGGGAAGCCAGTATTATCAAACGGTCATTAATAGGTGCAAGTTTTCAGCATTATGAAGTGTTCCTGACAGAGCTTTTGAAGAGCTCAGTGAATAAACTTGAAAAAATGTATTTTTAAAATCTTATACATGTACATCCATTATCTAGTAATATTCAACGAGATTACAGACTAGGAGTTTTTTATCCGTTTCTTTGATTCATTAATTAGATATCATGGTTTATTGGCTCCGTCACGGAAAACACTGGAATTATCCATTATAAGATTTGAAGGTTGCATGGTAAAGTTAGAAATGGTTGCACCACAAATGTCATCAGGAGTCTCATGACAAGGGACAGAGCACACTCTCCAAAACATTGCGGATCGTCTTAGAATTACACAATCTCACACAAAAGAGAGTTGCTTCCAAATGATGGAACCACAAACTTGATAATCCTGTTTTCAAATTTCATGAAATTCCTTTCCGTGCCCATTTGACACCAAGCAGATAGCTTTGGCAGCACAGCGTCATCCGACGAGGAGAGGAAAGAGCTTGTCAAGACAGACACCTGGCTGAACAAACCAGACATCCTGGCTGCCTATCAGTGTCAGGAAGTCAAAGATAACGGCCACACCTATCCAAGGTTAGTTTGTAACACAGGCCAGAAATTATCAACCACCTGGCCTGGTTATAAAGTTATGTGGACTCCACTCATGAACAGCAGATAACTACTTGTGAGAGGTCTGTGCTTGCAATATTTCAGATGTGTATGGCACACAAGACTTACATTATTCTGGTCGTGCATAAGTCTGTACATGACCTTCACCTAAGCGTCAGGCTTACAGTGGTAAACTATTCCAGAGTTTTACACATGTCTTTCTTGTTAACACATGAGGGGTTAGTTGCACAGAGTCCATACTCAATACACTCCAGCTGTGGCAAATTGTCATCTTGGCCACCTACTGATGGCATAAAGGTAACAGCCTCAGATATCTAGGTCAATCAGGAAAACATCAGAAACTTTCCGTACCCCTTCATACTCTTCGACACCTACCCAAAGTTAATCTGACCACAGCATCAACAATCATACCTAACCAATGCCGTAAGGTAATTCACAATATACTCTGTGCATGAAGAATAGATGGCTATTTGTGCCCACAGCTTGTGACTGACAAATGTTATTTTGAATGAGCACAAACTAAGTGAACTGTATCATCTTCACTTGAACCACAACATCAGCAATGCAAACAAGAGTCCAATTGCAACTCTCTCTTGACTCTGTTTAATACCGACAGCAATATGCTGGTCACCAAGACACATCTCTACATCCTACGAGACAAAGCAGACAGCAAGGGATTCTCTTACATCGTGGCCCGCCGAGCTCTCGGCGACGTTGTGCGCATCACCTCCAAGAAGCGTTGCGCTGAGCTCATCACCTTCCGCTACGGCAAGTACAGCAGTGAGGAAACGGACATCTACGCGGTGGACCGGTTGTATCTGCCTCAGGCCAGTGAGGCTACCAAACTGGTCAAGAGACTTATCATGGATGTCCTGGAACCACCAAGCACTGCCGGAGATGGCGCAGCAGCCAAGGCGGAGCCAGTCACGTAGCCTTCGACCTTTGATCTCACTAGGTCTAAGGTCAATTGAAAGGTAATCTAACTGACAGATTGATAATACACAGAGCCGGCCAAGAGATTGGACAATTGAGCCTGTCTGGCACTGTTGCAAATGTAACCTCTGACCTATATTGCCATCAGGTCAGAGATCAATGTAAAGGTAATGCCACTGATTATTGATAAATACAGAACCAGCCAATAAATCAGATATCTGCCCTGCACTGCTGCATAAATGGACCTGGTTATTTAACCTTTACCTTTGGTCTGATCAGGTGAAAAGTCAGTTGACGGTAAAGTAATTCCTAAGCAAAGTATTAATCTTGAAAGCCATTAAGCCAATCGGAGACTGAACGATACTAGTACAGATGGAAATAGACCGGAGACTGGACCTCATAACACACGTGTGTATGAGGACAGGCAACGGCCTCGTGCTTCTAATATCTTATTGGTTGCTATGCGCCTTGGCTGTGCTGCCTCCTCTTTAGTTTGATTGGCGTACTTCACCTGCACACGCATGTGTCATGCTTAACGCAGCACCCTATTTGTACGCATTTAGATATTTAAATCGGGTAGACCCCTAGGTAATACATGTACCGGTAGGTCAATCTGACAGTCAACTCACTGACTGATATCAGACTTTAAATGACTGTCCACAATAATCTCTCATGTCGACTCTGTGTTCAAACTAATGTGGATCTGGTCACATAACCTTTCACCTTTGTTCTTGTCAGGTAAAAGGTCAATATAAAGGGAAGTCATCAATACATTGATTGAACCAGTAGGGGACATTCAACTCCAACTAATTCATGGACTGTCTAACTTTGAAAAAGCAATGTTGCTACAATGTATAGGGTCTGTCCAAACTGGTACATGAAGATTGTGACCTGTGACTGGAATCAGGTCAAACATTCATTGTTAAGTTACATGTGGACAGTATTTCAGAATATGGATGTGAAAGGCTGCTTAACATGGCTGAGATACAATCTTGTAAGTAACTGCTTGAAAGGACAACACTTTTTCCACTTTAGATGTCATGGGGCTTTTTACTGCAGAAGAACATTTGTTTTGAATTGAGTTCAAATTTTGGAAGTTAACAAACATGTAGCGTGTTCAAAACACATACTGAAACACTATTAAATAGTAAAAATAAATTTTGCACTCAAATGTTATTTTCAGGCATCATTTGCAGCTTTGGGTACATGTAGTCTTATTTATGTAATGTGTAGACACTTAAGACAGAAACTGAAACCGTAAGATTGACCGATCTATGATAGATGTTTAGGGTTTAATATTTGACCAAAGATTTCTTGACAGCAAAACATTCTGTTGCTCTTGAAGTGATATACAATTGTACACCGTGTAAGGAGGCTACAGAAATATGTATAGGGTTCAAACATATTTCGAAGGATTTTCCTCATCTGATTTAAAGGGGCACTGGGTCCTGGAACAGCCCAATTGGGCTACAAAACGCGCTTTGACCGAGATGATGTTTATCGGAAATAACATTTAAAACTACGATATAAACATCCACACAACTATCCTTTAAAAACTGGGCATTTTTGTGTTATTCCTGTATTATGCGAGGGAGAACGCATTTTGGGGTCCACTTTTGCGAACCCATAAATTCAAGCTATTTGGATGCTAGTTGTGATTTCATGCGTAAAGTGTTCACCTTTTGTGGACGTTGAAGAAACCACTTTGTTTGCATTGGTGATTGGTCATCGCTGTTCCCGAGACACACAATGTGCATATTGCTTACACTGAGAACGACATGGAAAAAAAACCGTATTCGTACTCCGTCGTGTCCGATGTAATCAAGCAGGGTTTTTTCGTCTTTTCTCGGGAACGGTAAGACATTAGGTTGGTTTCCTTTCAACATGATGTTTAAAATAGATTAAGTAAACAGTCCAAAACATGAAATTTTCGGGGATTTCAGGACCTAGTGCCTCTTTATTCAAAAGGAACTTTGGGTATTAATTTATCAGCTGTAATTATTGTTTTGATTTCACTTGATTATGATTTTTTTTTAATTTTGTATGAGAATTAATCAGGGTTTGTTTATTTATATTGGCTCTAAGTTCAGCTCAGTTTCATTTTCAGTTTTATTTATAATGCACATCAATGTACAGGTATTTCAATAAAACTTCTGAGAATTATTCATCTGAATTAATATTACATTGAATATTTGGTTCAGGCAGAGGGAAATGTGGCATTTTGGGGGGGTTTGGATGAATAATTTATTAATAGTGTGGGGGCATAGGCAAGGCCAATATTGTAGGGATTTTTCAACTTTAGCACTATGTGGCACAGGATTAATCTACATTGTAACTCAGAAAGTCTACTTTCAACTCTTTAAACTGACTTGTGACGTGCATGATGTCACCCTGTATATAAAGAGGCTACATAAATAAGTATAAATTTACAGCGGTGCATTATGGGAGTCAGGCAGTGTTGTAATTGAGTCCCTCAGGCCCTAGGCACCAGTGTTCTGTAAGGGGGGACGAACCTGTGTTCACAGGAACGGAGTGCCCATCTCTCTTTCAAAGCGATTTGGCCAGACTCAAGTCCATGAAATGCTGCTGTGGGGGGGGGGGGGGGGATTGCCACACCTCCTCCACAGCGAGTCTGTTACCTTTTCAGCATTGAATAATGCCGGTACCCATTTAACACCTGGGTTGAGAGGAGTAATTGAGGTAAAGCACCTTACTCAAGGGCACAACTTGCATGGCCACGGCGGGGCTCGAACCCACCATCTCACGATCATGACTCCGTAGGCCCTACTTCGCCCTAGGCACCTGCACCAATTTCATGTTGATGTTAAGTAAACCCGGCCAGAAACGTGGTGTTTGTGCCCTTGGGCAAGACACTTAACTACAATTGCCTCTCTCCACCCAGGAGTATAAATGGGTACCTGTAGGGTCGAGGACCGATGGAGCGCTGATATAGACTGCCGCGTGGTCCCATGGCCTGATGAACGGGGTAATAATTGTAAAGCGCTTTGAGATTGTTGGTACAATGGAAAGCGCTACATAAGCGCAATTATTGTTATTATTAAGTTGTACTAAAGCAAGCCAGGCCATGGTACATGTATTTTGGTAGGCCCTCAAATTTTTCCTAGGCCCCCCAAAATGTTTGTAGGCCCTAGGCACAATGCATACTGCACCTACATGTATTGGATAATCCGGGCCTGAGTCAAAAGTCAGTCATAAGTAAGGCAAGTAGCATGGGATGAACAATGACAAAGGAATATCTTTGTCATACATGTAGTTCATTTTGATAGCTTGGGATAAGCTTTGAGGTTGGGTGACTTGTGATTTGTGGGGGCTTGATTACAACTCCAGATCCAGGTAGGATCTTAGCCCCTTTTTTTAAACTCAAGTAAATTGCTATGTGCTTATTGCATTTACAGGTAGTACGGGAACCGAGTACCCTATAGACCGCTTGCAGACGCGTTCGATAATCGATGCGCGAAGGCGCGCGACGCCATGTTGTGGGACAGGCGTATATCTATCCACGCACATTTTGTCCCATAACATGGCGTCGCTCACCTTAGCGCGTCAATTATCGAACGCGTCTGCAAGCGGTCTATTGAAGTAACACATGGGTACCCAGGTACCCATAAAAGGAACCCAACCCCACAATTAAAATCCTGGAAGTTGTCTGTGGGGCTATAGCTTTCGCGAGAGTCATCTGTCCGGCATTAAAACGCACATGCATTTAAATCTGTTTTGGTTTTCCATGATGAGCCTGGTTTTCATTTTGAAAATTCCCCACAATTGGCATTTATTAAAACCTTTCTTTTTCATTGTCTGAGAAGTAATTAAAGCCAGAGTCCATCATTTGCAGCTATCCAAAAACTAACTGACGTAATTATTGTTGAAAAAATATATTTGGTTGAAAGATAGTAATGGGACTAAACTCCCTTTGAAATTATTCTTTCTGGCAAGCTGTCATTTTGAAGAAATCAACCAAAGAAGGCCAATCCAACGGTGCGTCTTAAGAAGCACCGTTGGAAATTTCTATTGTAGTTCGTTGGTTTTATTTGGCGAAGCACGCACAAGCGTTGACACGACGCACACACGCGCGTGGTTGCTATAATTTGTCGAATCAGTGCGCGACATCGCGTAGCTGCAATTGGCTCAGTGAGAATGTGTCTCAGACGCTGAATTCAGGCCCGATTCAAAACATGATTCAGCAATTTTTGATTTGAAATCGAGATCCTAGAATGTTGTTTTTCTTAAAATATACAGCTGACGCTAAGCTGAAACTTCATCAGGTTAGTTGTTCAGCACCCTTCTTTAGATTTTGAGCACTTTTGTTGCTTCAAACGAACAAAATGCACAACTTACAAATGATGGACTGTACCTTTCAGTAACTTGTAGAGTTGTTTACGGGTACCCGATCCCATAAATGTGGAACCGGTTCCTGACAGCAGCGGTCGGGTACTCGGGTACCCGGTTCTGATGCACACCACTAGTGCTTACATGTATACGCTTGTACATGTATGTACATGCAAACGCCATGACAAATTTGGACAATATTGGTTCAGTTATCAGTTCCATTGTACATTTTGTACACAGACCGATCCAAGCACGCACCTGTCACTGTACATTCACAGAGGCCTCCTTCAAAGACAAAGGCATTTTGCCTAGGGCTGTCCGAAATATACTGAATATTCGAGTATACTATTAGCTCATCAACTGAATATTCGAATAGCTTTTTGATGGGTTATATTCGAGAACAAAATACCTATACATGTACACACATGACTGTGATGTAAGTTTATCACAAAGTTGCAGCGTTGTATTGTCAGGTGCCACTTTTGTGTTTACGGTTGACTTTTTTTGATCGACGGCGATTCCCTGTTTCTATCTCTTTAGGAGGATAAAGTCCTTGACAGTTAATGAAATGCTTACTGCAAAACACTCCAAATCGTTTGCCTCACACAAATTTTATGAATGCAACTTTTACCTCTGCTTACAGCTGGTAGTTTTGAATATCGGAATATTCGGTCAGACACAGTTTCGGGTAATCAAGTACTACATTAGTCGAAAATTGACAGCCGTAATTCTTCCAGCTATTGCTCAGAGCAACTGCCCCATTAATGTATTCTGAACAATAGCTGGCACGAATGCTTGTACCATCTGACCATTGAAGGGGGCTTCATGGATTGGACAATGCTCGCGTGGTTGGATTGGGCAAAACAGGTGTCCCCCTATAAAATCCACAACCATATGTTCATTCTTCGCGGTACTGACAGGAAATTTCCTTCAATGAAAAATAGTCTGTATTTCATCAGAAAACCGAACACCCATTCAAGAGTTATGCCCATGACAAAGTCATGTTTGTACTGTGCAGTAAGTTCACTAAAATGGGCGTAACTCTTCAGTGGGTGGTCGGTTTTTGATGAAATAAAGACTGTTTTTCATCTCGGAAAATTTCCAATATGAAAACCAGTATCATGGAGTACCTGTATTATGGTTGTGCATTAAGAAGGGGGGACACATTGTACAATGTATATAATTAGAAATCAGGCTGTACAAGAAAGAGAAATCTGTGTGTTCTGTACGCAGTCTTTATTTCGTCGGTAAAACCAAAAATACAAAGCCATAGACCCAACAATCTGTTCCTAGGTTGCTCCCCTAATGCAATGCAGAAAACAGACTGACGTCACAAGTTCCACATATCTTTTCATTGTGTAATGCTTACTATGCCGATTAAAAATCGGGGCTTTTGTACATACTACTGTGGCAATTAGGGTGCATGTATTTATAAACTTAAAAAGAAAAACCATATGTGCTGATTATATTGTACGTGTATTATAATACGAAATTTTCATCGCATCTTTGGGTGTATTGTATCATATTGAATTCCTGCCAAATATTGATTGAAAAGCTTCATTATTTTTTATTATTCTATTAAATTGCTGTCAAATGTCGAGAGAGAAAAAATGTAAAGTGTAGATATTGAGTTTCTGCATACATGTAGTAGGAATAGAGTGACAGCTCGAGAAGTAATGGGAAGTTTTATCGTGTAGGGGCTCTGGATGGATCATATACCAGTACATGTAGCTCTCTAACATAAACTTGTATGGGGAGTCGAAAGCTTTTAAATTATTTATAATTCTTTTCTTTGAGTGGGCGCAGCTGGTCGAAAACAAGGAAAGGAGTTTTCAGGAGCCTAGGAACCACTGCAATGTATAAGTGCCAATTGTTAATCACTAAAAATGGAAAAGTTGATGTCAGTTTCGGTAAAGTCAGTCATGAGTTTAGGAGTCCGTGGTTTGACTAGTCAGTGTTTCACTACCAGGATTTTTATGTTAAAAGTGGACAAGAGGTTTAAAAACTTGCACGAATCGTTTTCGTCTATCATTTTTATTAAATGTAGTTTGTGATGGTAAAATTAGACAAAGCCGCCTTTGTTGGACAACTGAGAAGGATATAAAAGTGGGAGGGGCCAGGAAGAAGGGTGGATCCAAGTGGGTGTTAGGGGTGGCTAAACCCACCCCTCCCTGACTTACTTGTGGGTACATGTACATGTATACATGTACAAATAGAAAACCCCTTAAATGTCCTTCAGTTTTTGAACAACATCATCATTCTAAATTAGAATTATGATTTATTGCTTCAAACCCTTTGGCCTTGAAAAATCTGCAACAACTTCAACATCCCAGCTCGTCCCATTTGAAAATGAAGAGTTTATTTCCAAAACGCCGCAAACATTTTGCACTTTTTATGAAACTTTAAGGAGTAAAAACAGCATAACGCCTATTTCTAAACTTCATTTTCGCTGTATAGTATCGTAAAGCGCCCTTCTGTTCTGGCCGCAATATCTTAAATAGGCTAATGAAAGGACTAGACTACACTGAAATGTAGATATAAAACTGTATTGGGTTAACTATTGTCATTAAGTAGTATTGTAGGCTACAGGTGTTTATATACATATCAAAATAAATGCTTTTAACTGCAATTTCACATCAGTTGGCTCTTGACAATTGTTTGTTTTTTCTTCTTGGCCATAAAAAGGTTTCTGGCTTTTTTATTTTAAGGTTAAAATGTGCATTTCTGTATGTATATATAATTCTAATATAATTGCAAGTGCATTCATACTAAGTGGAATAAAAATGACACAAAAGAAATTGGCTTACTATGATATTGTCTATTGGCAGATGTTAATTATATGGAGTGTGTCTGACATTGCTATGAGGGAGATGTAAATCAGTGTGATGTATTAAAGTCGTAAGTCAATTACAAGTCAATCACTAGCCAATCACAAGTCAATCACAAGCCAATCTCAAGTCAATCGCAAGCCAATCGCAAGCCAATCTCAAGTCAATCACAAGCCAATCTCAAATCAATCACAAGTCAATCACAAGCCAATCACAAGCCAATCACAAGTCAATCACAAGCCAATCACAAGTCAATCACAAGCCATCTCAAGTCAATCACAAGTCAATGACAAGCCAATCACAAACCAATCACAAGCCAATCGCAAGTCTTTACAAGTCAATCACAAGTCATTCACAAATCGATACAGTATCACAAGTCATCAAGTATGAAGTCACAAGCTATACAAATGAACTATGACAAAGGCATGCCTCTTAATTGTTCATCCCGGGCACCTGTGACCATATTTCTGAATTTTGATTTTGACTGGGCTTTATGGACTTGTGACGACCTTGACTGCAACATTGGATGTTGGCTTGAGAATTACAGTTATGTTCTGACCTGGACTTGTGTAAAGCAGTGGTCATGGTGATGATGAAGTTTTAAGGAGCCTCTGTAGTGATGACGTCACGCTTCGTTCAAGTGCCTTTCCTATGGAGCCAGTGGGGGTCCACGGTCCACTGAGCACCATAGGAAAGCACACACGTAAACAAAGTGTGACGTCATCAGTACAGAGGCTTATAAGTTATAGACATTATGCATTGTGGGTACCTCAGAGGGTACCCTTTGTTAATAGTCGCAGAGAATGCACAAAAAGGTCAACCTACGTGAATCCTAGCGACACAAAACTTGCCCTCTGGCTCTTCCTCAAGTAAAACACATGATAAGGTGTATTACAAAGTGACTGATACCATGGGGAAGAGGTTTGCATGAACATGTTGAGTGACTGACTTAATAAGAACTGTGTGGTTTTTAAAAGAACCTAGTTGTGTTACTTGGGTCAAATTGACCTATCACGGTAGAATTGTGAAATATTGTCAAATTACATGATATACAAATGGACGCGAAACGCGCAAAAACTGAGACAACAACATTTAGGGTACAAAACTCCGTAGGGTTGTCTAAGGGGCGTGGCTAACTCGCAAATGGCGATAGGTCAATTGTGAGGAGGATCAAATAAGGGGGGGGGGGGGGGTTAGATACTTGGTAGGCGCTGTCACAATTTTGAGAGATCGAGGGGGATGTACTCACTCCCACTTCAACACCACTGTACCTGTATAACCTGAAGTACAAGAGTAATTCACACCACTAGGTATACGTATGCACATCAATAGTGGTGCGACTGGTAAAACTTTGTACTTAATATTCACCACACAAACCCTTGAATGTGAAATTTCACTGAATATTCACTGAATGTATCTGCATGGTGAGAAATATCAGACATCTTACCTTTAGTTCTTAAGGATGCTATGATCATGTGGAACTGTTGAAAACAATGGCAAGGGTGTGGTCAACCAGCTTGGCATCTCAATGGCTGAAAAAAAGTTGTCGAAGTGAACTGTAATAATTAAACTCCCACTATTGGGCGGAAAGGGAAAGAGAAGCAGTAGCATGACTAGCTAGTTAGTACTGCTGTTTATCTTGGGTTTTGTTTTCTGACAATTCCGAGATAGACCCACAACAGGTTGATATCGAATATGGCAGGTGGATTCATCAATTAGTCTGGGCCGGAGTAAGCCCACTCCCCCCCTCCCCCCTCCCAGTCTTGGGTCAGTGTTCAAGCATGACTAGCTAGTTAGTACTGCTGTTTATCTTGGTGTTTTGTTTTCCGACATGTCCGAGATAGACCCACAACAGGTTGATATCGAATATGGGAGGTGGATTCATCAATTAGTCTGGGTCGGAGTAAGCCCCCCCCCCCCCCCCCTAGGGTCAGTGTTCCACTGCCCAAAGCTAGCCTAGGTCTGAGTTGGTCTGAGTCCAAACTGGTTTTGGTCTGACTTTATTGGCTATAGGTCCGCGACTTGACCTGGGCACAATTAATCCCTTATTATATAGCACTGCTTAAAAAATCATGTTAATAGTAAGAAATGTTTTGTAATATTTTTATTTGCACAAGAAAATAGTTTAGGCAATTATTTGTTTCAACTTTCGATTGAGCCCAATTGTCATGCTTTGAGGGTTAAAACTCTACATGAGAAATATATAACAATTAATGAGAAAATCCCAATTCATAAACCTGTTTTTTTTTGGCAGTGCTTTCAGCAAAATATATAAAGCATTCGAAGTGCAAAATCTCGTTGCAAGCCGAGGCCTGCATTTTGGCGATATCGTGCCTAAATTTCACTTAGCACATTGTTAATCATGGTCACTCAAAGTCAAAGATAAAATTTAATGAGAATTTCGTTGCTCAAATTTACCCTGAAATATCTACTTACCGCTGCCAAACCTTCGACAAGCTTGCGGCCGCCTCTTTTATGCACCGTATTTTACTGAGTTGTCATGTGTGAAATAAAACTCTGACCAAAAAGTCCTTCGTTTTCTTGGAGAAAATTAGCGAGATGCTTTTGCTCACAACGTTTTTGACAAACACGAGTCAATGACGGTACCACTGGTTCCCACCCCGCTATGCATTCTTAGAACCATGGGACTGGAACCAGCTCACTTAATCGGGCGCGAAAAACACTGTCTAGCTCCCAGTCCCTCCATACAGTGTTCTTATTGCGAATAAAAATTGATTTGGGTAACCAGCCTAAGTGACATACTCGTATGTAAACAAAACAAACAGAAGTTTTCAGATTTCTCGCCGGGCCAATTTCAGGAGATCCAGGAGGCTGATCGGCCTACTTGATGCCCCTTATAGGTAAGTCAACCAGGAATGAATGAATGCTGCAAGGAATATTTTCGCAAGACTTAAACAGTCTGAATGGACTTTGCAATCGCCGGATATGGAGGTGCAGTAGGCACATCTTTTCACCATTATGCAGCATCGATCAGAGGCTAGGGTTAGACAATGGCTAGGCTAGGGTTAGGTAGGTCAAAGCCGGGGCAGATCTAGGTTTGGCTCAAGAGAGGGTATATCTGTCATCAAAGGGGGGGGGGGGGATTGAGGGGTGGCAGGCATGTGTATTGTTTTCCCGTAGGCTTTTGGTGGCGGAGGTGGATCGGGGTGGGGAGGGGAATGGTGGGGGTGGGACTCACCAGCTACCCCCCCCCCAGCTCCGTCGCTGCAAAATTCAGGGTTAGATGGGTTTTTTTCACCGATGAACTTGAACACCCGAAAATGTGACAAAACGTTTGTCGAATTTATGATAAATTTATAAGCCAAAAATTGTTTTACCTCCGGAAAATAAATATCCACCGTTCGCTACAATTTTGTCACATTCTATCCTTACTAGAATATTAGGCCATCAGTCTCGGTCCAAAATTTTGGCAACCGGTATCAAATGAGGGGAATAATCGTCATATCGATTTTCGGCAAGGTATACACCTCCAGAGTTGGAAAATATGTGATAGCATTGCAGCGGTGGCAGCTTTATAGGTGTTATCACCGTTTATTTTTTAAATGTCCATCATATGCTTGTTACCACTCTAGGGGTGGTATACCTTGCGCATGCGCACTACATGTATAATTATTTATGCCCTTATTTTGATACCGACCAACTTGACCCCCAAGCTGATGGCCTATATAGGATATTGAACTACGCACCAAGAAAAACAATTGATTCTTTTTTTTAGTGTTTTCTTTAATTTGAGTGTAGTCCAAAAATACATTATTTGCAGGAACACTTCCCCATTGTTAATGTTCTGTTAGAACAATGATTTTTTTTCACAGAAATGACAGGTCAGTTACTGAATTGGGAGGCCGAATCTCTTTTTTTCCCCATTATTTATGTTGAAATCAAACAATCAAAATAGCCTGATATTACAGCCTAATTAGCAAGGCCTTCGTCAGAGGCAAATTTTAAAAATTTTGTATATCAAATGAATATGTAGGCCTACACATGTACCAAATCAACGATAATTGTGCGTCTTGGCCAGACAGAGTATAAATTACAAGCCATCGTTTGACCAGGTTATGTTAAAGGTTCCGAGATCCAATTCAGTTTGATCACATCAATATTTTATTGACCATGGTTGGCATTTTCAAGTTTGTGTACAGTTGAACACCTTTATGATAAGGTTCTTTGGGACTTTACAAATTACCTTTTTATAACAGGTACCTTACTTGTATAAGCAGGAATGGAAAACAAAGCAAAACAAACACTTGAGACCTAATATTTTGCTTGTTATAAGCAGGATGTTGTATTAACAGTGCTCTTCTTATCAGGGTTCGACTGTACATAGTACATGTATTGTGCAGAAGTAAACAAAAAATGGCCTACTTTTAAATACAATGTAGGTGTAGATCGTGTAACGGCTTTCATACCAGTAACTTTCACACGTGCCTCGGGAAACATAACAGCATTTGCGTACTTGAGGTCAGATGTTTTCAATATCAAACCTCACACGTTGCTATTGTTACATGCCATGTCACTGCGGGTATACAGAGAAAACAGGTGAATGCACGAATTACAGAAAAACGGAAATCTTACAAACAGGAAACCTTTCAAGACAAATAAACAAAATCCCACTCAAAACAATGCAATGTGCTTCTCATAATTACAACCAGCGAGCAATTTGCCTTTATTTAATGGCTACAAAGTACTGGTAATTATAATTTACACGATAATTATGTACACCGATTGTATAACAACATTTGAACGCTAAAAAAAATGGCAACTGCAAGCTTGAAATGTTTCCTTTTATTATGTATAAGCTGGGCACTTCCGATGAAAACGGCATGATATCTTCAGAATCGATAAATTTATCACTCTAAATTTGTGTTTAGTTGCAAATGATTGAGCACACCATTTCACAATAGAGAACACGTCTTCAGCTTATAATTATTGTGATGTAAGAGCAGTTTTACCAGCAATTAGGCGCAAATCCAATGCAAACAGCGAAATCAACCAATTTTTACAAAAGAAATTCGACAAAAATCACCTAGATCTGTTAGTGTATCCAATGATGATTAAAACAAACATATTAATATATATATGCCATTAATAATAAAAACACACAAAGGTTAATTGTAACTCAAAATAACTCGAAGCAAATACTGGAATAAACAAGGCTATGCATACATGTTGGTTTCTATATTGACGGAAAAACTAAAATCAACCACAAATGTTTTTATACTTTTATTTTAATATGAAGACATAAAAACAAAATGTGTAATGAATTCTGTGATTATCTATCAGAAGAAAACCAGAAACTTACAAAATGATCTAAGATATAAGAAGTACTCAGAAACAAAAACAAAATATCCAGGAATTCACCAGAGTTTTTTTCCCCCACAAAACAGTAAACGTCTAGCATCACTGTTAAAGGGTGGTTGTGACACAACTTGATTTACATGCAATGTGACAAAATAATATCCTTGACCATGACAATAGTGACAGACAATGGATGGAATAATATCAGTAGAGTTGTCAATCAGTCACAAGTAAATCACAAAGTCATCCAGTCTCAGGCCACGTGACTGCTTGTGACCTGATTTGTGATTGACTCGTTTTGGTCTCGGTTACAATTCTGAACATTATAATACAAAAATCAAAAATCAATTTAAATTAACTCTATATTTACACGTGCAAAAGGATTACGCAAATAAAGTATGTATATTCCATTAAAGGCAGCAGTGAAGCTAAATACATATATTGGTAAAATTAAAATGCTAAAAGCTACTTTGTCATTTGTACAATAAACTGATGCTATGGACATGTGACAAGGCAAGCACCGGACACAAGGGGTTAGTTTGTCAGACTGAGAAGGTTAAGAGGATCGACAGTTGAATCATGACTTGGTGACATGCCCTAATGACAGTCACACTGGGTGACAGTCACACTGGGTGACAGATAGAGGGCGAGCAAGGTAGACAATCAGGACAGGATATTGAGAATGGTGGACAGTGTCGCAAATGACATGTTTTCCATCTGCAAAGAGACATAGTGTTGCTTGTCATAGTTTTGCTTGTCAACGCCACACTTCAACTTACCACCCCATAGTCACTGGCTGCCAGACATGGCACATAGTGTCTGGTAGCCAGTGAGACTGTGACGGTGACAAATCAGGACAAAGTAACACATCAGATGGACGATAATACTGAGTGCCATGTCCGGTTGATTTTGGCTGCTTTGCACCGAAATGGCATCAAGCTCTATTCTCCCCAAGGAGCTGAGATTGTCTTTGGAATGTTTCATTTGCCCTTATAACGATGTTACACCTTGAACACCAATACTGGTTCATGTAGATGCGTGTGCTTTAAAAATACACATTATCATTTTGACAGAGGTTGTCACATCAGGTAGGCAGTAAGACAATGGCACAGTGACAAATCAGAACAAGGCAACACATCGGGCAGCCAACAATACAAGGTGCCATGTCTGGTGGCCAGTGACTACAGGGTGGCACGTTGAAGTGTTTGATTGGCAAACAGGGTGACAGATTGACTGGTAGACAGTCAAACCAAAGGACACAACCTGACATGACATTAGAATACCTAGTTTGGGAAACCTATTGGGTGAGAAAGTTAAATTTTCACAGAGGCAGATTAGTGACACTGCGGTGACACCAAGTGACAAGTGACATACACGGTTGAAGAAATAACCATACATGTAGGTCCAATTATATACATGTACAAACTACGGTACTACGGCATAAAGCTTTTGTATGCAGTTAATGTGTAAAAGACATCTAAAAGTGAAAACAAAATTGCAACTGAGTACAATGATTAAAATCCTGCCTTCGGATGTTATGTGACATCAAAACTGTGTTACCATGGCACTTGTTTATAAATGTTTGCCTTCCAAAGGGGACGATACACATTCAGACACATTCAATCTACACATACATTTTATTTAACAAATTATAAGGACCATACAGTTTCTAAAAAATAAATTTTGACATTGGACATCATTTTATAGTATGAAAATAGCTTTAAAAATAGCAGTTGGATACAGAATACTATTCCAGTCCACAGTTTAGCTTTTTTTTTTTTTTTTTTTCCCCTTCATTTTTTTTTAAACATTTTGTTCCTACCCTTTCGAAATAATGTCTGCTTAAATGGGGTCACATGTCAAACTACAGCCTCCTTTTAATCTTAAGTTGTTACACATACTGCTCAGTTCATATTATTCAAATAAAGCTCTCTGTGTAATGAATAAAATAATATTCTGATTGGTGAACTCAAAATATGCTAATGATACACTATGAATATTCATCAGCACAAGGCTCCCTACATAATATTAATAATATTCTGATTGGTGAACTCAAAATATGCTAATGATACACTATGAATATTCATCAGCACAAGGCTCCCTACATGAACAGGAGTATAAACACGTGATTCTCTATACAACAGCATGACCAATCACAATTTGAATATTGGCCCACCTGACTCTCATAACTACATGTATTACCCATTTTTGTATTACCATTATTACCATAACAAAGACCAATTACGGCAATTATTTACGATATAACTCATCAATGTGACATCATCTAATGAATATTTATACAGTGAGTGAGAGATTTGTACAGTTACTTCAGACGAACAGTGTTATCAACTCCGAATAAACACCAAAATTGTAAAAACCTTTTGACCCTTTCTCGTTTTTAAGCACCAAATCACAAACGCAATCTCAAACATTCCAACCCAAAAACATCTTTTTCGAAGCAATTTTTTTTTAACAGTAGCTTTAACAGCAACATTTGCAAATTACAGGCAAAATACAAACTGTGGAACTTTTCTTACATTCGAGAAGTTTCTTGACCAATTATTTATAAACAATTTGATCTTCATGAAATGCTGAAAAAAAATGAAAAGTATTTACATCTTAAGAGAGTGAATCCATTGTCCAGTCTTCATTGAAGAAAAGTATATCTACAGATTGTATGCATCTATGGTGGTATGAAGGAATAATAACATGAAAGATGAAAAAAATTAGGCTGGAGTATCCATTTCCAAATCATTGGGTAGCTCGAAACGACTTTGTATGTCTTCACTTAGTTGCATTAGTTAGCATGGGCAATGTTAATTATTTTGCAATGTAGGACGTTTTGCAAAACTGAACATGGCAGTTTTACGGTGGGCACGATGAAAGTTTTGCACAAGTTTATATCAAGTAAGACTACATGTACAATTCAGTTAATGCAATCCCAGTACATTGAGCCTTTGAGGCCATTTTATTTTTAGACTAGGTTGAAACTGTGTTTTTTCTTTTGCTAAGAATGTAAACCAACTCAAAAATGTGGATATTTTGGAGGGGCAGAAGAGGTGGGGGAAGTGATGTGGTGTAAGAGAGGTGTGGTGTAGGAGGAGTGGGGTGTAGGAGGGTGGGGTGGGATAACAAGGGGATGAGTAACAAGGAGTTAGGTAAGGGTTAGGAAGAGGGAACGGGTGGGGGAGGGTATACATGTAGGTTTGGGGGTACAGGTAAGGGGAGGATGGGGAATATGGGGTATGGTGGGGAGTAGGGGGGGGCACGGTCGGGGGTAGAATGGTGGGGATGATTTAATTACATGTATATGCAAGACAGTGTGTAATTTTTGGCAGGTGCATTGTCTGCCATTATACACAACCACATTCACAGAAAATTTATGGTGCATTTTAAATGTATCATTGCGTCATTAAATCAAATCACTTATAAAAGTTAAGATGCTAATTTCAATATGCGTACTTGATGTTTGTATCATGCTGTTCATATTTCGTCGTGTACGTGTAACAAGGTCGTATTTCCGTACGTGAAACGTAGGTTTCAGAATGTCAAAAGGTCGTATCTCACTTAAAATAACCGGTATGTACCCACAGAAAGTCAATGGACGTCGAGATATGACCTTGTTACACAGAGCGTATTTGCGCGAGATGACTTTGTTGCAGGATGGAGTTACGACCTTGTTGCACTGACGGAACGATTTGTAAAATTGAAGGAAAACCAAAGGCTAGTCCGTTGTAACAGAGGGGTGTTATCATTGATGTTCATCAATTTGGGACACTAATCATTGGCAACATTATCAGCCACCTCCTTGTGTCAATTTCCATGTAATCACCACACCCCCAATTTTCACAATGGTCTGATCACTAATTTAAAAACAATCTTCGATCTTTACATCTTAAAAGGGTTGTACATTATGATTTCATGCGTTGTCAAAGTGATTTAAAACAAACAATAAAACATCCCCAAATCATGTCATACCACCTCTTTTTGAGTCTACAGCTGCAACATGGTCTCTCCCCAATTCAAACAAACACATGGACCTCTACACTTTGTCGCAGGAGGGACGGCGATGTTAGACGAGGATGGATGCATACTGCGTGGGTTCCTCATCAGACTGGTGGATTTTTCCGTGCCCGTTTGTCGGCCTATCTCTGTTCTGGAACTGCAGGTCAGCGTAATTTACACCGGCTTGGCCTCTACCTTCCTGTATTGGGGAAAGATGCCAAAAAAAAATGGCAAGTTGCAAACAGTATTAAAGTTGAGTCCATCGCAAGTCCTCGCAAGTCCTCGTAAGTCCTCACAAGACCATCACATGCTAAAGCCTCAGTCACACATTAACAGTAGGAGCTACGAATATCCACGGTTTACCAAGAATCAATTGATCACGATGAACTGTCGAGGTTCGTGGAGAAATCAACTTTCTAAAAATGCACTACGGTTTCAGGATGGATAGCGACGACTGTCCTACGGTTTCTCTACGATAACCCCACGGTTTGTCAAGAATATAGACAGATTGGTGAAGAATAACGACGGTATTACTAAGAATAATGACGTTAACATCACGATTGTCTGCGATTGGGTCACGGATGACCAAGCTTCTCCTACGCATAAAGCGTGGATATTCGTAGTACAACCTTTGCAGAACCCTAGCACATCCGGGCATATCCGTAGGACATTCATAGCGAATTCGTAGATTTCTACCACAAATGAGCTACAAATCTCCAAGATATGCATGAATAGTCATGTATAAATAACACTACGAATATTGTCCTACGGATGTCCAATGGTTGCACTACAGATTAATTTTCATGACGGAAGTTATGAACAGTATCAAACTTCTGTAGGAAGATGACAGATAACCACGGATGTACTGAGGATGAATACTGTAGTCCCATGGTTTATCACGAATTTTAAACCGTGGTCATCCGTAGCTCCAAACCGTGAATGTGTGACTGGGGCTTAATCACAAGTCCTCCAGTCCAGTCCCAAGTCAAGTCACACGCTATTCAAATGAACTGTGAAAAAGCATTCCTTTGTTACTGATCAACCCTGTAAACAGGCTTAGATTTGTGCATGCACTTGTAATTTTCCTATGAACAGACTTGTGATGGACTTGTGATTTACTTGTGGCTGGATTTGTGGATGGACTTGTGATTTAGTTCGGACCAAACGCGTGATAGATTTGATCACAACAACGGTGATAACAAACCTGTGATCTTACACCATTAAATGATATGATCAACTGAGCACCATCAAAATGCAGTCACATATGGTGTACAGTATCTCACATGTCCCATATGGTTGAAATCTCTCCACATCTTCCCAAATCAAACACCTGGGTCTAATTCATATGGCAATTAAGCTACAGTACTTATTTCTTTTAACAAAATTGCACTGGATGAAACAGCAGACACAAGTCAGAAGTACTGTACAATGCATTTTTAACAGCTACATGTAACCTAGTTTTTCTTTTCAAGAGAAATTCCAGTGCAAATTTATGAGTTGCACTATACAAAAAAAGTGGGTGGGGGGATCCCCCCAGTGGGAAAAAGGGGGGGGGGGGCAAAAAGGTGGGGGGGGGGCACTGCAAGCTTATCATTACAACTTGAAAGGAACATAAGCTCAAATAACACAGCTTGTTTGGGGCGGGCATGGCAGAGGTAAAACTTCATGAAATGATGACTGTCTATGAAATTCAAATTCAGCAATGGTCATTCATGGAACTCGGGTTAGTATACATACAATGCACCACCACCAAAATATAAATCAAACATCCCACTGCATGCCACATTACACACAACTAGAGATATGAGTTACGACAATATGCAACACGAGAAAGGATGCAAAATACATGTACACAGTGACAGTACAGAAGATGTATAACAAAGTTTCAGTATTTTTTTTAGTAAACCACAACAGGAAACTGACTAGGTGCAGTATGGGGAAACCAGTAACATAGGGCTGGATAGCTCAGTTGGTAAAGCACTTGTACGGTTTTCCAGAGGTTACAGGTTCAAACCCTACTTTAGTTAATTTCTTTTAAATCAGTAAATACATGTATAGATTTTTTTGTTGGGGATAATACGTGGTTTGAGGTATAGTACGTTTGCGCTGTGACTTTGGAATAATAGCTTTGGACAATGCAATCTCAATTTCGGACGGTGGACAATTCGGGCGATTCAGCGTTTGCCATGGAGAGTCCATTTTTCAAGTTTACCGTCGACAAAACACGGCCCATTTGAATGAGGGTCAGTAGACAACTTCAACTAATTTGTTATAGATTGGGGCATAGCGTTCTGCCACTATTACAAAAAAACATGAGATTGATAAAAAGAAAAGAAAAAGGCAAACAGATACTTGATCCTTACTCTTACGAAAATACTGACCGGAAAAACTAACAATTTCAAATGTCCCGCTCTGCGAGTTTGTCGACCATCTCCCACAATGTGCTGTGAAAAATGAACTCTCCGTGGCAAACTCTTGGTGGTACACTGCATTGTGAATCGCCCAAATTATGGCTGCACATTTTCGAGCCATTTTCCACGATTGTCGGAACAAAACCTTATGCCACCTTGTCCAACCACATTTTCCCCCTCATTTCACCCTTTAGTATACTGTCAGCCATAGGGTGACCACACATCAGCTGACCTGTGCGTCAATGTCGTTCAAGTCAAGGAAGACAACACTACCGTAGAACTTTAAGGTAAGGACTCATTGTACTAATAATGTACTATTTTTAATCATTATTTATTGCAGAAAAAAACCCTTCAACCCTGCATGCACTAGCACCTGCACTACATTCATGTATTTATTCCTTAATGAATCCATCATTCCAATAAGTGTCTAGCGGTTGGGGCTGCAAAGTGCAATGGTACTACATGTACTGGGTTTACCCCATAGTACCTCACTACATTGTGTTACAATGTATTTAATCCCTGATGAATCCAGAAAACCATAGGGACCTTTAGCGTTGGGGCAGTTTGGGGTGGTAAAGGGAGGAACACGCAGGGCTGTTTGGGATGGTTATTGGTACTAAAGAATAAAAAGAAAAGTGCTAACTAATAATTGAGAGGTGTTACACTGCAGTCCATGACCAACATGAATCCTTTCTTTAAACCTACCTGCATGTCGCCAGCATAAGATCCTGATAAGATCAAACTACTATAGGCCTACCGTAAGGAGCAACTGGAATAACCAAAACCCATGGACCCCATGCAAGAACATTAAGATGGCCCTTGCCACCATTTTCAAGAGCTGTAGGGGACATGCGGGCACTGGATGAAGTTTTGTTTTAAATGTGCATGTTACCGACAGATTTGGCGTTAGCATCTGGCGTCATCAGCAATACATTTGATTGTCCCTCCCAGTGGTCTCCCCCAACTCTCCCTTTGTGTCTGTTGAGTGGATACTTGTGCAGTGTCCATGGGCCTTATGCACGAGTCGGCCATATTGAATTGAAAGTGAGTTGGAACGTGCCAAGAAGAATGAAAGTAAATTAATTACTAATTAATTCCAGTCTGCTTCAATGAATAATTAATATTTTTATAATTAAACACTCCTTAACCCTTACCCTACTAGACCCTCCAACACATGCCAATATGTGCCTCAAGAAAATATCCTATGTTTTTTGCATGGCCCTCCAATATCTGCCATGTCATTTCAAGGGTAACTGGACAGGCACTCCAATACATGCCACAGAGAACAATGAGAGTCCTCTGATAACAAAGTGAGTGCCCCCAGCTGGTCAGTATCAGGCACCCTCCAGGGCCTCCAACTCCTGCCAATTGGAGCCTTCACTGTTAAGACTAACTATCTGCCAATAAACTGCAGCTGGAGGGCATTGGCATAACCAACTGACATGCAGTAAACTACCCTCAGAGAGTAAGGGTTAATGTTTAAAGCCAGATTCACAAAAAAAATGACAGTAAAATAAGGCTTTATTATGCCTGCATACATGGCATAAATAGTCTGGCGCCATCCCATTCAACAGTTAACAATTAATGAAATAACGCGTGCATAATGCCCATGGTACCAGTACCAGTCTGGGTGCGACGGAAACTGTACTACTGTAAGCAAATGAGGATCCATGACAATTAGAGCATCGTATTCCCAATTATTTTTATCCCAGCAATATGCCAAAACAGACATCAGATGACACTGTTGCACCATTGCACTGATGACACTGTTGCCCCCACTCAAACGAAAGATCTTGTTGTCTTCTTTAATTCGACACCCCATTTGATGTTTTGATGCTTGTAGTTTGGAAGATTTCAGTTTCCAATTTCCAGCCATGGTCACTTTTGCGTGGAGCTGCCCTAAAGGGTAACTCAACAACTGCATCCTAGTCCCGATCATTTTGATGGCAGCGAGTCCCAAAACATGTTTATTGGTTTTTATCTCACCATGTGACTCTATATCGCAACTTACCTGTATATTTGCGCCGTACGCGTGGAAACGACAAGTTAGTAAGAGAAAGCCACACTATGGTACAATGGAACAAGCATTGTATTAACTACATGTACATCCTACTCCTAGCAAAGCCCAAATCAAACATTGGTTGATGATGATGTCGCACCACTTCAACCCTTTTTTTCGCAACGTACCTGTGGGTCACCATCGTACGAGTCCATAGGGTACCCCTGGTGGTCATTGTCAGTAGGGGGCGCACTCTGCTTCAGGGCTTCCTTCTCGGGCGCCGGCTTGCCCGAGTTGCTACGCGGCACGCGGGGCTTTTTTGGTTCGTCGTCATAGTTGTGGACGCTCTGTCGGACCTCGGGCTGGTTGCGGATCATGTCTGCGTTAACTACCGAGGGCTGCTTCTTGGGCGAGGAACCACTAAAGGTGGGGGCGGGGACAAAGGAACGAAGGAAGTAGGCGGGTGAGGCGAACAAACAAAAGGGGATAAAGGAAAACAAAAAGTAAAGCAAGGGACAAAAACCGGGAAAGTGGCTAATAAAAAAAAGTCTTTTTGCTTTGATATCATCAAGCTTTGTCAAGTAATTTTTCCTTGCAGCATCTGGGGAAGGATTTTGAATATGAAACAAAAATGTATACAATGTACACGTACTTGTTTTAAAAAACATGTATTAAAATATCAAGATACACTGTAATTTTACAGAAGAAAAAAATACTTTGTATTGTATTAATCTTTTATTTCGTCTGTATCGTATTACGTACATTGTACTTTTATTGTCATCAAACGACATGTACTGCTCCTACTCATAGTTTGTAAAACAAGGTAAGTCTGTTATTTAATGTTGGAATTTGAGTTGGTTTTGTTTTAACCTTTTAAAAATATAGTTTTGAAAAAAAAATATATATTAACAAAACGGGGGTATGGATGTGTTGGAAGGAAAAATTGAGAGGAACATTTGCAGGAATACACCACAAACACAATTTTACCAGCAAGGGGCAAAAAGCAAGAAATGCATGCTTCAAGCACATTCACATAAACTTTTGAACTCAAAATGTTATTTCTGCCAAATGCAACACAACCACAATGCACAGCATGAACTATAACCACTTGCACTCATGTAAGGATTGAGGGACATGTGCGTGACAAAGAAATATAACACATCCATGTCCAGAACGCACTGCGTTCTCATTAATATTTCCCACAACCCAAATGGAGAGTAAAAATCATCCTTGTCAAACGACAAAAAATGTACTCACCCGTTTGAAGTCTTGTTCGAATCGAAGCAGAATTTCTCTGAAGAAAACAACAAAACACAGTAGACTTTACATACACACATTTTCAACAGGTGAACATTTTTTTTTTAATTGCCATGTAAGACAAACAAAATGTATGGAATCCATACAAAAGTACCCACTCAACTGTTTTTAGGTTGAAATCCAATCCAAATATAACTCTATTAGATTCGAATACGGGCCATAGAGGTGGATGGTGAGGTAGGGACGAAAAATCCAATCCAAATTGTATCACTCTGATTGGGATTTGAATCCGGGGCCATGAAGTTGTAGTGTGAGGTAGGGACTTAAAAATTACTCTAATTATGGGCCGCAGCGGGATTTGAGCCCAGACCATGGAGCTGTATGGGGATGTGGGGACTGACAATCCAATCAAAATATAACTGCATGGGATTCAAACCCGGGCCACAGAGGTGTATACATGTGGTGCAATCATATACAGGTTTGAGTGGGATTTGAACCCGAGCCCTGGATGTGGAGGGTGTATTATACAAATAAAGGCCTGAGTGGCAATTGAACCCAGGAAATGGAGGTTTATGGTGAGGTAGGGAATGAATATCCAACCCACATAAAGGTCAAAGTTGGATTTGAAACCAGGCCATGGAGGTGAACCGGTATGGTAAGGTAGGGACAGAAAACCCAATCTTACTTTTGCGATTGGGTGTGATTTTGAACCTTGGTCACAGTTGGATGGTCAATAATTTAAGCCCATTACTCACTTTGCGTGTAACAATAAACGATTCCACCAATCACTAGGGCTACAACAATCAGGCAACCGATGGCGATTGCTGCAATGATGCCTGCATCCAAACCGACTGCAAAATACAGGAGTGGAATAAAAGAAAAGTACTTACTAAAACAAAACAATTTAAAAGTGACATTTATTGTTAGTCTGAGTGCTGCCTCAATACGGTCAGAGAATACAGTCAGAGAACAAGAGTTGCATGTAGAACTTTGTTTTTGTGACCTCAGATGCAGAGTTAGCTTAATTAATGAACATAAGCTCATATAAGCACTCTTTTCCCCACAATTACCCGGTACACGTCTGCATGTACACCTGTAGACCATTCTTACTACACATGTACTTATGTCTGCAGCTCATGCAAAGAGTCAACAGGTTTACATGCACGTATTCAGGATAAAATTAGTCTTCACACTTTGTATTGTACATGTTCGAAATCAGTGCACATGCCACAGATGCAATGTGTTCCACACAAGGATCTCTCTGAAGCCCCTGTTACCAGTGCCGTTCAGGCATCCTGATGGTGTCACGACCACAGAACTTGGCAAAACTGGACAAAGACTTGACGGCAACTGCTCTAAACGGGGAGCTCATGTTGGGGACTTGATAGACACTGGAAGGTCCTGACAGAATGGCAAAGTGCCCCGACTGTTTTCAGCTTGTTCAAAACAAACGTGAGACTCTCCCGTCCTATTCACAATGAGGTAAGGATGCTGCAAGGTCAGGCGAGGATTTAACTCAAACGACCTGGACATGGGGTCCACGGGAAGGCAGTCGGGAGCATCGCTGTGAAGCACATCGGGACTATCTTTCAATCACAAATCTCCTACGTCTGTGCCGTGCTTACAAAGTTCCCACCCACACCTCCACCTACTGCTGGCACAGGATAAGCACGTGCTGGACTTGACGCCAACGGCTTGGACGGGATGAGGATGGGTTGGGAACATGAGTGTGAGCCACATTTGACTTGAATAGAACTGCCTCAGAACGGCTTGGACTGGACGAGGATGGTACAAGGCACACACGGATTATGGTCTGGGATCCAAGGCTGGAGCCTTCATTTTTAAAAATTTCCCGCATCCTCACCACGTTTCAATACATCTTTGTGGTCATGACCATCGTATCACGCACGGGGCTTACATGTAGAGTGAATGGCACTGTGTGACAGGGGTTTACATGTACATGTAATGTACACATTATGATATTGGTAACGAAGCGTTATCTTCAGCCATATACATAAAAAAATCATCATTAAAAGTCATCATACCAATAAATCAATCACAGTAATCTAAACGCAACCACAAGTCATCCAGTCTCAGGTATCACAGTGTTACCTGTTATGTGAGCACATGTACCGGTAACTCACAGTTTGAGTTGAGGCTGACTCAATTCCAACCTAATACATTTCTCAACACACAAAGCTTCATGTTTTTCATCTAAGAAACCTGTTATAAGAAGTGAAACTACATGTAGAACTTGTACCATCAGTCTACATTTAGTGAGTTTGAATTGGGGATTATTAACTCTTTCGCTACGGCGAGCCGTTGACACCGGCACACAAAAACTGTACATGTTGTACGGCAAGCCGCTGGCAGCGGCTCGGTGACGTCGCTGTGAATAAACAGGGTATCCCCATGACGTGTGCCTTATCTACATAATTTATATCGTATAACCTCTGACCCTAGTTTGAGCCGCTACCAGCGGCTCTCCGTCTCGCCGGGGTCTGCTGCAGGTTATTGTGAGCAGTTTGTTTACAGAGAGTCATTTAAAGATGGCGGCGTCCACATCGACACACGGCGGAATTTCCAGCGGTTTATTACGTCCAAACGTGGAAAAATCGGTAAATTAAATTCCGTAGCGAAAGAGTTAACCCTCAGTCACCCTGCTCAATCCAACAGGATCCAACTACCGGTATATGTACCAATTGGCAAATTGGGTTGAGCAGGAAACTCACATGAGTAGTCCTGGGGAACTACCAGGGGGTTAGGGTTATTTTCACAACAAACATGTTAATGAAACCTGAGTTAAACAGCAACATGTATCATGAAGTATTCAAAGAATGTATGATTCCATGTACACGTTTCATGATAAATGGCAGGGCAATATTATTGTTGTGGACATACATAGGCCTACCGGTATTTTACGTACATGTACCGGTACATAATGTAAAACTCATGATTTATACATGAACATGTGTTTCTGAATATTGTAGGCTCAAGTCCAGCCTGTGGGGTTGCATTGTACATGTGTCCACTGTCAAGACACTTTATGTACACGTTGTACCGGTATTCCTACCCGGTACATATGTATAAACTCATGATCGCTACTCTCCACTCAATAAATTGGTACATGAGGGCAGAGTCACATTTGTTTAATGAGTTGTTACAACTGCAGTTGCATACCGTATGTGTGCTTTATAACACACATCTATTACGGGTACTCTAATAGTCACTGTAGCGCCCTAAACCGCCCCAGCACTCTATGGTTTGATTGATCCTTCAGTGAATGAACACAATGTAATACCATGTAGTACAGTTGTTTATGTGTTAATTCTTAGCGACAGAAGGGGCAACCACACTGGCCACACCAGATAAATACATGTACGTACATTTGGAGTTTGGTTGGGAAGGCTAGTGTAACTTAACAGCAATCACTAGTGGGATGCAGCATGCAAGATATGCAGGGGTTAAAATCTGAATGATGCATGTAGTGTTAAGTGATTAAAGATGAGTTAGTTCTATAAATAAAATGTTTTACATTCGATAAGATAAAATTACAATGATAAAAATGAGTTGCACATCCACACATGTATCATGAAGGTACCGGTATACATGTACATGTACATGTACATGTAAGTGGTGCTCTTACGTACTGCTAGAGGAAAGATCAAGTTATTGAAGCATCTGAAAGATTCAAAGATGGGCCATTGGAAAAGACAACTTAAAAGACTTAAACAGCTTTGAAACTTAACACATACTTTTTGACAGGTACATGTAACAAAGACAAACATGGTAAATTAAAACATATGGCATAATGCATACCGAGTATCATTAAATGTTTGTTTCCGAAATGCCTACCGGTACTTAAAGGTAACATTTGCTAGCTGTAATTTTCTGAAATGGATGGATTTGGGGTTATATTTTGTAGCAAATATTCTTACACTGACCTGTTATACAGTTTTGTGTTCATAGCGGATGCTGGATAAATCAAGAAAAAAATTGCTGCCCTTGTAGTCTGGTTCCCTGACTCCATTTCAAACCCTCATAACAGAACAATTTATAGACATCAGGGAATTGTCAATTCAGGAAACCAGACTAGCTGGCTTGAACCCGTTACCGATGTGCGGCCGATTGCAAACAAAATGTGGATTTATCTAAATTTGGTAAATTTGGGGCAGTATTTAAAAAAACAAAAGAAATCCCCAACGACGGTCGGCTGACCAACGTTGGAAATTGATGCAAAAATTCCTCAATTCTTGAAAATGACAGCACACTAGGTGCCATGATTTCAAAGGATGACCAAGACTAACGTTCATGCATATTAACAGTCAAAGGTACTCACATATTTCTTAATTATTTTGGAAGTTCTTTTTTTTTCTATTTGCAAATACTGTGACCTCTAATTACCGTACTTCACTCATCCATTGTTCCCTTGTGCTTATTACACTCAGGTGTTATTTATGCAAGAAAAAGAGGAAGGGCTGCTTTGTGGAGGAGTATTGGAGCAGAGTAACAAACTCAAGGGAACAGCACAAAGGAGCAGACATGTTTATTATGAACAATGAACATGTGAAAGAATAAAGAAATAAAAAGCGCACTAGACATGAAAACAAATACAAACTTAAAATGACAAAGGTGTATCTTTGAAGTTGACGACAATCTGAATTAGAAAACACCTACAGAGCAGGAACATCAAACATAATTGTGCTTTTGCCTTTTCATGGACGAATGAACTAAACAGAGGGATCATTTTTTTTTTCAGAAACAATCAAGATTGTCATTTTTTGCACTTATTAAACTCACTATTTACATGCTCGCACTTATGAACAACTACATGTTCTTGAAGACAATGTTACTCAATGTGGGTCAGAATGTAGTGACAAAACTTGTAATGAAAAGCATTTATGACAACTTAAATGGCAGTGAAAAAATGATTTTACTTAAGCAATGGGTGCAGATTAGACAGTAAAAATGAAATATTCAAAAGCACTAGCAATGTGGCTCAAAAATAATAACTGAAATCAAGGTGCTCAAAAAATGATGGTGAGAAAACCAAAAGTGGAAGTGTGTAATTGCGTGTCAAACTTGACAATTAGGCTGAAGTAAAAGAAAGCTGTCCGTTATACAAGACCACACAATGAAACAAAACGAACGAAAAACATGTCTGGAGATGAAAAACACAATATTAATAAGCCTCAAAATAAAACAAAGCAACCAATCAACAAGATGAAATGAAACAAGAACAAAAGAAAACAGAACAGAAGATGAAACATATATTGTAGAACATCTTTCCCTCCCAACCCCAAATGTAATAAAGGTGGTACACATACCAGTGGGCTTTGGTGTAGGTTCACTTGGTTTAGGTGGTGCCGGAGTCGTGGGTTCAACATAGCCTAAAAATTTCAGGACAATCACACAAAAAAGTGGGGAAAAAGACAGAAGCAAGGCAAATGATTATTAAAAAATCAAAGCATGCAAGGCAGAGCTGAGTGATTAGAAATGTGAGATCAGCACTGCCAGGAAATAAAAAAAAAAATCACAACAAAAAAATTTAAATAGTAGCCTACATAATTGGCACTTGGCACGTGGGATTTGAACCAGCTACAAAATCATCATCCATGACGAATTGAGCTACGTGGTAAGTACCAGTCTAGTGTTGGCAGTCTCCCAACTGACAATATTTGGAGTATTTCTGTGATGTTGTTTGCATGAAGTTTATCATGAAATTAATCTCTGGCCACAGAGCATACACATGTGTAGATTTTGTGGCTTCTTACTCCATGAACCTGTACACTGCACATGATATGTAAGGTTCCTGCACCTTTAAGACAATAAAATTCCATGACTTTTCCACCACCAACTTATTAAACTCCATGGTCATATGTAGTTCTTCAAAATGCTGATCAAAACGGTAAAACTTGCTCACGGAACAAAACATTCGAAATCAAAACACCGCAAAATTTGTCGCATTTTGTAGGGTATAAAAATCAGATTTTTGATGCTAAATTACGAAAATTCCAAGAATTCTCCAGACGACGGCTGCATGATTTACATGTACATTAGTAATTCTGCATTTTCATCGGTCAATTCACAACGGGTAATGCATTATGCATGTCTACCAAATCGGTAGACAAATGTAAAGAAAAACATAAGCGTTCTCCACGAGATGGTAAAGGCCCTCGCGGCTACGCCGCTCGTCCTAGTCTTTTTACGTGTCAGCATCCAGGGTGCGTCACGTGTCCGGGTATAAGCGCGTGGGACTTGACTAAAGGCTAGTGCACACTGGGCTAGAAAGCTACGTGGTGAGTTGGTAGACTGGAAGTGCATTGTACAATACTTAATATTCTGTACCAGGTTCAAACCCCACTTAGGTCTTGAAATTCCTTTGATTCGATCACTGGAAACTGGTAAATGAACAATGCACACCAAGTTAGTTCCCATGGCGCTTCAATTTGACGATTGGGCCTATAAAAAGCTGGAAATCAAACTAGTGACAGTGTATCTTTTCACTGACTGATCATCAGTCCTGATTTGAAAATCACAGGCATGTGGAAAAAGGCACACTTTGGTATTTCTAGGCGTGTGATTTTTCTAGGCGTGTGATTTATACTAAGGGTGTGATTCTGTGGTCCAAGCTGGGACTGAACAATCTTGTATTTTCTTTTATAATATTCATCTTTGTTTTAACAGTAAAGCCATTTTCCCTTTTTCGACAGAGGGATTCAGGCGTGTGATTATTCGCACTTCTAAGGAAGCTTTTAGGTGTGCGATGGCGTGGAGGTCCGATCGCACGTCTCCGATCAGAAGGACTGTAGACTAATGTCCTACAAACTTGTCCATGTGTAGCACTTGTAGGATGCATGTACCCAGTACGAATAAGAACAAGGGGACATGATACGGTAGGTACCAAGAATGAACCAAGTTCCTATCGTGATTATGGTAATAATGTACCAAATTGCTATCAAGTACATGTATGTACCTATTATTAACTTCAAGGCAGCTTGCATGTTTTGCTTTCTGATGTTTCTGAGAGTTTGAGTAGCACAACTCACGAAAAGGTATGAGACTTTGGGGGGGGGGGGTGGGGGGGGGGGGTGGGGGGTGGGGGAGGAGGAGGCTGCATGAAAAAATCCAAATTTTTTTTCGAAGGTGAAAGGCTTTTACATGTATGCCACTGTCCAATGAGCTACAATACAAGCTAAGAATAGACCATTTGCATAACAACCATCTTTGACGTGATTATTTTAATTCAATAATGCACAAGAAGTCAACCTGACCATTCATGCATCTTACTATATGTAGATCGTTTTTTTTTAACAAATTAGCGCATTGCAGCGCAAGATGGCTGTAATGCAAATGATCTGTTTGTGAGCACTACCATGACTACCATGACAACCTGTACACACTCCTTGCTGTGAATTTGCTTTGCACTGTGCACAGCTCAGCAATTTTGTCCCACCAAAAACAGCATTTCATTGTCAATGAGGATGATTTAAATTATTTACAATGTTGCAACTTGCAAGTGGTTCGCAACCCACAAATGGAACAGCCTTACATGATGTACATGTAGTTGATGTGCATCTCATATAAAATGTTCTTGGAGGAATGTAGTAGCCTCTCTGAACTCCCATATATTGGCACAAAGTTTAGTGGGGCACCATTTGCAGTCATCAGTCGACATTTGAAGCAAAAAAGTTGGGTAAAAAAAAAAACAAAGCCGCGTCGCCGCACCACTTTTTGGACAAGCTCCATACCAGAAGCCGGAGACTTTTTTTTTTGGCCTTATCAATCAAAACCTAGAAAACTCAGAGTCAGTTTGAAGAATTATTTGATATTTTATAATCGGGATTTGTACGTACTAACAGACTGGATATTTGTCACAAAAAATGTCTGTCCCTGTTCGTACGTAACCCTAATCACATCATAAGTTTGAAGCCAGTATAAAAACTGTTATATTTTTGTTTGATAACAGTGTAAAAAGGCTTAATAATGTCACCGGAAGTGCCAGATCAGAAACTGAATTTGTCATAAGCACCCTTTTCCTTCATGTAGCATTGCAACTCTGTCCATGTTACATGTACATTGTACATACAATGTACGTACAGGTATCACACAGGAAAGTGCCTGATATTTTCTCAAATAAAACAAGGTACATGTACATGTACATGTACATGTACATACATGTACGTGTACATCTTTTGTCTTGTCTTGGCTTAATCTCTTTCAACTTAGCAAGGTACAAAAATATAGGGAAAAACTGAAGAAAATACTAGCTCATCTTTTACCTTTTATACGCAACATCCTTGGATAAACTTTGGCCCATTAGTGTGGAAATGCCCACTGTACATGTATGGGTATTACCGTACTTTTAGCAACAGCAAACATAGCCTAAACAACGCCATGCTAACCGTGGAGGAAAAAAAACACATCCTCCATGCTTCAACATGTACAAAGTACATTGTATACTATGTACACAATTGTATACCATGTGCATAATTATTGTATTATTTGGTGGCAGAGTTTTGGATACTTGACCCAAAGAACCTTGAAAAGAGATGAATTGACCTGACCCATTCCCATGACCTCACTGTACAGGTTTGATATGGTTGAATGAACAACAGAAAAGCCCAGACATTCTCCATGGTTCCTGTAAAAGATCATAAACACAGTACTGGTACTGTACATATTGTACCAGTACATGTACACTGTCTGTATACAATACGGTACATGTACATGTACAATGGTATGTATGTATGCAGTCACATTTTATACAAGTACCAGTAGGTACGTTGTTAATAGGGCCTATAATATTAATAAATTTTGACCACAAACAAAGACAAACATGCAAGCATTGAACATAAAATCAACGAACCAAAACAATCAAAAATTCAAACTTAAAGACATGCAACAAAATGCAATCTGTTACATTAGATAATGTTTAGTATGCTTATACATGTGTATGTGTACACGTACGCATTCATTTGAACAATAGACCCTCTGGTTGCCTATGAATAGAGCTAGACACACTATGCAACACGCAGAATATCCCACTACAATGTGCAGTCTGTTGACTCAGTTATTGGGGTTTGCCGTGGTTGAACTTTCAACTTTAGGGAAAAGACAAGTACACTGTTCTATGTAAGGGGGATGCATTTGTTGATTTTGATAGCGATAAGAGAGGGGAGTTTTGGAAATAGTCCAAAGTCCTTAATATAGTAGCTTGGTACATGATGTACATGTACCATGCACATATACTCAGTACAGGATTTTATCAAGTCTACTTCCGCGAACAAGACAACAATGGGTCTTTACAAACATGACGAACCTGTCTTTTGTGTTGCAATGAATGCAGCAAATACCACACAGTCATACCATGGAGCTATAGCTCCATGGTCATACATTGTAGTTCTCATCCAACAGGCATGCCCACAGTATGGCCATTGCTGATCCTTATACATTTGTAAATCAATTACACATGATCAGGATGTATGCCTAATGCCAGAGTTTGCACCAGCATACAATGTACAAGGAAAATTATTCAATTTAAAGTAATAACATCCAAACACATGTTGCCAATATTTAGCAACTTTTTGGGGGGGCAATTTTGCAATAAGAAATGTCATTGAATTTTCAAGTCATTTTCTTTATCACTCCAAATTAAAAAAAAAGTCTTTCATTTTCATGTTTTTTACACCACACGGTCTACGTTTTTTTTTTTTTTTTCATTTTTAAATTGTCAACCTGGTAGTGGTACATACATGTATGTATCCATTGTATACCATTTATACATGTGTATAATTAATGTGTACTGGTACTGGAACCAGAGATGATAAGGACCAAAGTTAAACATTCCAAGCTAAATACATTGCAAATCTGAAATAACTTGAATCAGACATTTCACCCATAGAGGATTTTATCACTGATCATCAGAATACCACAAACCACACTAAGAAATTGAATCTTGTTCTTGTTGCCTACAATGTACCTGTATCTACTTCCCATTGTGGTTTTGTTCAAATACTCTCTTCAACTTTCCTGTCAATGGAAAGTATACGGTACCTGGAAAACAATATGTAGGGATCAAACTGATTGACCATAATGTTTGGATACAAATTGCATTTACAATGTACATGTATAATTTCAAAGTACCGATAGAAATAATTTCATGGGATAAATGACAAACAAACAAACGTCCAACATATACGCCTACATGTACATGTACCGGTATTACTAAAAAAAAAACAATCTCAAATACAGTGTGCATACACACACTAAGGAGTGATCGAAACACAATTTTCTTGTTCTTTTTTCAGACTTTGTAGAATTAATAAAATAAATAAAAATCATTGATGCCAACTTCATCTAGTCATAATAGCAAAACAATAAACATTTA